GCCTATTTTATTCCCAATGACGACACATGTTCAGAAAAAAGGCATGGTGTTAATTCAGACAAGCATATATAATAAGCTGATGAACTCTGCTTCAGATTGATTCTTAGTGCCAAAGTCAATGCAAATTCCATGTATATGGATTCAGATTATCAATGCCAGTATATGTGGTTATTTTCTAACTAAATGCAGTGATACCACCACAAAATGCCATCATTGTCTCCATCTACCTGTTCTATTGTGCTCTTATCACAGCAATTCTTGCAGAGCAATTACTCCTCGCTATTACCTGACATACTGATTGGCATGATGGACACAGTTTTGTTCAAGTAATAACATATGTCATCAATTTATAGTATTAACATACTTCACAACCTACCTACTAAAAGGATGGGCATCGGAAATGTACTTTAAAAGAACTCGTATCCAGCAATTCTTATCAATTAATTTTGTCATAAAATTCTAATGCATAAGCTAAAGTGGTTTTCTAAGCTTTAAACATTTACGACTATTGCAATATCAATCCTCAATGATCAGTCTTTTAATATTATTCTGCAGCAGCCTCATGTACAGAAAATTGTACTTATATACGTACTATTCCACATACCAAGCATTATACTCTTTCTATTTTCTTAACTGCTGCACAAAAAAATGTAAATCTTTTTCCAAAGACAGCAAACATACCATAATGATGAGTGTGGAAGCTATAGCTTATTGGGAAAAAAAAAGGTTCTTAAGAAATTTTCTCAATGCCCAGAAGTCCATTGCTTGCTTAGCTTTAGACAAAATTCTCTTGTCTGCCTGTATAAAGGTATGATCAAAATTAGCCATTCTAATGTTTCTAACCTAATAGCCCTTTGAAGGTTGCTGTCAAATTCTGACCAGAGATAGGTGTGGAGTATGACCTACAAGTCCAGACTGCTCATTTGCACGCACAGGCACACGCATGTACATACACGCAGTCGCATAAGACTATATTATGGTCTGTACTCAGGTTATAAACTAGGAAGAAAGTCTCTCGAGTTGTGCCAGAGAATCTATAGGAAACTACAAATGACAGCATATGACTATGATTCTGAGGGATATCAAAGCAAATGAATCTAATTCATCAAGGTCTATAAGAAACTTCTTGCTCTTACGGTTGATAAAACTTAAAAAATTTCTAGTATAATCTTTTCCTGGATTTCAGTGGCAAGTTTAGGAAACATAGATATGGTTGTCAAACATATTCGCAGAAGAAATAAGAACCATTTAAAATGGTCTCAACATGTTTAAACAAGCTCATAAATGCACCATTTTAGTGAAGAGAAAGAATTAAACTAGTGGTGCGAGGAAAGGTAAAAGCTAAACATTTGATAAGATGGCATAGAACGAGAAGGATACATGTCGGTAGCAGAGTCAAAACACACCCTCCACCACCAGCACCGGTCAGCTTGGAAGTTAATTTGTACTTCATTGTCACTCGAAGCACAGTTTCTATAGAAGCATGGCTTACCCCCATGCACTGAAGTAAACCTTGGTTCATTTCCATTAATTCCTCTATCTTCTCTTCTCTTGCAGTAACAGATATGTCATCTAGAGCAGGTGACTGTATAATGGTTGACAATTCCTTGCTGATAGAGTTAACTGCAGTAAACACGGCAGCCATTGCATCCGGATGCCTGGAGGCTCTTTCAGATACACCAGCAACCAATGCCTTTGTGTTCCTCCCAACCTTTGTATTGGTGATGAGCATTCTTAGAGGTGCACTTGATTCGATATGGATCAACTCTCCCAATCTGAACTGAATCATGTTACCTGTTACACACACATTCCCGAAATTGCATAATGCAAGAACAATAATATCACACGGTTCAGACATACTCCATGCGAAGAACACAGATGGATTTGTTGACGTGAATTAAAACAAAGTAGTCTTACAAAGGTTACATACCAAATGCGCTTACGGTGTTATCAATGCCGGAGGGCTTTCCGTGAATGATCTTTTCACCTTCGAATGCCCATCTGTTCACCAGTTGAAGCTCATTTTCGCACAACCTCAGCCATCCACCTTGCGATTTGTCGACGGTTATGGCATCAGACAACGCAAGAAAAGACGCCGCGAGGGCGACGCAAAATGACGCAGATGAACCCAGGCCCGAGCCAAGAGGAAGATCCGAGGAGATGACCACTTTTCCTGCCTTGTAACTTGACGAAAAGAGGAATTAAATATAGGAAAATGATGAGGCAGGAGATAAAGAGGATCAGCGTGGATTGGTACCCATGGATCGAGGTGTAGAGGTGGATGAAGGCGGCAATCCCAGAAGAAAGCCAGATTTTTGCTTCCGGAATGTCTTGTTCTTCGACTAGGGCAGCAATCAGCTTGATCCGTTCCGGCGAGCACGAAACCGGGGTTGAAGGAACAGTAACAGCGTCCCCCAGCCCCTCTTTCAGTCTCGAGGGCGACCAAAAAAAGGCCAAGCCCAGGTCTTTAAGCTCTAATCCTAACGATCCATCGCCATTCCCTGGAATGAACATCGAAAGATTCCAGGATCAGATGCCTCAAACCCCGTCTGAGAGGGGAAAAGATCGAAAGAAGGTGCCAGACCTGGAGGGACGGGGGGATCGAGGCGGAAGGAGACGTGCGTGAAGAGGTCGATGGCGGCGGCGACGGCGGTGGAGCCGTGGACGACGGCGTGCTCGCCGGAGAGGATGATCTTGCCGGGAGCTCGGGCTCGGACCTCCGCCATTACGAGTGGTGGGATACTGAGAGTGGAGCGGAGATCTCGACCAACAAGAATCTATTAATCTATATTTCCCCAACTGAATCCTCAAGCAGTAGTTTATGGTTGGCTTCAGGTTTTTCCCAAGGAAGGTTAAAAAAAAAAAGGGGTAAATTTACCGAAAACACCTCTAATTTTTAATTATTATTTTTTTCAAAAATTCTCATAAAAATATCTTTTTTCATAAATAAAATAAAATAAAAATTTTCCCCTCCCTTTGCTCTTAGTTGTTTTTACCTTCGTGCATGGGTCTTTTATGCACGAGCATTTGCACGAAGAGGGGAGAGGTGATGAGGACGATGCTACGAGATGAAGGTGATGGTCGACGAGGCGTGAAGGGAAGTGATGTGAAGGTGGACTAGGGCAAACGAGGACGATGCTACAAGAAGCCATCGTTCACCGGGGCTTCGGTCGCCGACTCCCCTGTCATCATACATGATGGAGGTGATGGTCATCTCGGACTAGGGAGGGGTGCGTAGAAGCGGTTGTCTAACCCATTACTTGATGAGAATTTTTGAAAAGAATATATACCATATGAGAAATTTTTAAAATGATGATATTCAAGGAGAATAAAATCATCTTTTAAATTTTTAGTACATTAATAAGAAAAACATAGCGATCTAATTTATTATAAAGGAGAATAGAATACAATTTGCTTGTTAAGTTTAATATACATAACTATAGGATACAATAAAAATTTACATGATTCATTAGTCCTTTTTTTTCTCAATCCATAATATATCTCCACTAATAACAATTTTGATGATAATAATGCAAAAGAGCAACATTAGTATATTATTGATTTATTTAATTTAAAAATATATATAAAAAATGAGAACATCTAAAAAACCCCTAATGTTCTCATCATCATAATAAATTTTCTAAAGGATACTAATGTAAATTAGAATTTCTAGTAATACCTAAACGATAATTAATTGACAAAAATCAATCATAGTTTTTCAAAAGAGGAATATACTGAAAAATTACCTAAATTGATGAACTATATGTACATCTCCCTTCAATCCTTAATATAATTGAAGATATGCTGATAATTACTCATTTTTACAGGGATGGAAAACTGATTAGTCAATTGGGTTGTGGATTTTATTAGAACCTCCGAGAAGGATTTTTTTTTTTTTAGAGAGAAATTTTTGTGAAGCTCTTTGGAATCTTTTTTGTGCTATGTAATATAGATTATTATAATTTGAGGGGAAGAAAAGAACAGCACATGCATCTTACAAATCCCCAATGGATCAACAAGTCCAAAAAATACCATGATAATTCACCATTTTATTGTATACGTACAATGAATGTGATGAAGTCATGTAATTGAAGGCAAAGCAATTAATTAATGGTGGTAGATAGATCAACGTTATGTAGCTTAATGGTCGTAGATAGCAGCTATCTATTAGTTGCACCAAAATAAACGAAGGAATTACTAATAAAAATAAAGATTGAACCAAGTGAAGTTTGAATCAGAAAAGGAATCCAAGTGAGAGGGAAAAGAGAGAGATATAGATAGATAGATAGATAGATAGATAGATAGATAAATAGAGATTGAAATTGATTATTGATAGGGAATATGATATTTTTATTGATACGTGATTCGTAAGATGAGTTATCCTCCACCTATATATTAAAATGAATAAAGATTCAAAAACAAATATTTCGTAATCAAAAAATTATTTATATCTATTATGACGAAGAAGATAATCATAAACTTTTTTCTTATCTTCTAAGATATAAAAAGACATCTTAAACTCAATATAAAAAACTTAAGTATATTGAAATACTAACTTAAGTATAGGAGGGATCGAGTCAAAAAATCTCTCTTGATCTTTTTATGGGTGTAAATTAATCACTCATAAAGCAGTAATATCATACAAACTTACCTAATAATAATTTAAAATTTCACTCTATGAAACTTTATACATTAACTTTTAATCAGTTGACTTATTTAAATTAAGGATTTAAATTTTTATCTTGCCATGTTTTTATACATCAACATTAATTTCATGATGTATATGTAAGTTTGAGAGTTGGAAATTTCATCTTTTATATTTTTTAATATAAATAATTAATCTAATAATAGACAGAGAGAGTTGGAAATTTCATCTTTTATATTTTTATATCTAAATAATTAATCTAATAATAGAGAGAGAGAGAGAGAGAGAGAGAGAGAGAGAGAGTAAATGTTTTCATCTCTCGGCAGTTGTCTCAGAGCAGTGTTATATATGAAGCAGAGAAAGCTCCAAAAACACGCAAGCAGCAAATGGCGAGACTAACGGCGCTTCCCCTTCTCGCTCTCGCCGTCATCTTTGTCTTCTTCCTCGTAGTCGCTGAGGGCGGCAGCAGCGGGGGAGCGGGAGATGAGCTCGCCCTGGGCTGGATCCCCGCCGGATCCGGATGCCGCGGGAGCATTGCGAAGTGCCTCGCGGGGGAGGAGTTCGAGCTGGGGACGGAGGTAACCCGCCGCATCCTCGCCCGCTCCTACTACATCAGCTACAACGCCCTCAGGCGCGACAGCGTCCCCTGTTCCCGCCGCGGCGCCTCCTACTACAACTGCCGCCCCGGCGCCCGGGCCAACCCTTACTCCCGCAGCTGCTCCGCCATCACCCGCTGCCGGAGGTAAGAGCTCCGCCATCACCCCCTTCCCGTCTCTCAAAATGCCATCTTTAGACTAAGAGAAGGTCGATTCCGCACGCTGACGGTTTCTTCTGACAAGATTTTAGCCGATGTTGGTGGTGTCGATGCTGTTCTTGTTGTATTGGTGCTGTGAACAGGGATCGTACGTGGTTGCCCTAAGGAGAATAAAAATCTGATCTTTTGGTTCTTGATCGGTTCCTTCTCCTCCCTAGTGATCTTCAACTGCATCTCTTCAAATAAAAAAAAAAATCCTTCTTTTGATCGAAACAGATCGGTTTTGTATGTGTTATTGGTTTCATATGCATCTTCTATTTGGGTCAGATAAATGTGTGCTGGTAAACTCCAGATTTGATGAAAATTTGATGTGTGCTCAGCAATCGGATCAAAGGAATTGGATCTTCTTCTCTGGTATAAAACATAGGAAACCAAGCCAGGAATGAGTTGTTATGTTGGGACATGTGAAGTCTCAGTTGAGATGTGACGTTCGTCACATGAGATCGAGAGAAGTAATAGAAGAAAATGTACACCTTGGTCAGCATAAATCATGGCGGCAGTCAAGTGAGAAGGATGGCATTCATGGCAGATGAGAGATCTCAGTATCACTACTGAGAAATTAAGAACAGGAGGCCATGTGTTTGGTATTAAGAAAAGCTGTGTGTGACCTTCAGACAATACATCCCTCCACCTTAGAGTTAATGTGATCTGCATAACTCATGGCAGCTCTAGTGGCAGTGCCATCTCATTTTTTATAGTGTTGATCTTTGCACATTGATCAGTCTAACCTTTCTTTGTGGTACAGACTAGCATCAATAATGCTGTGTATTTCAGTATTGTTTTTGAGAAGATCATTCATCCTTTGATCATTTTTGGATATATATATATATATTATAGACACATACATGTTCATTCATCCTTTGATCATTTTCGCTTGACCATCCAAAAGTATCATTGTTTGTATGAATCAGTACTTGAAGCATTTAGACAAAGGCTTTTGCTTTCATTTTGAGCTTGTATCATTTCATCCTGTCAAGCTCCAGCTTGCAAGTTACACATTTTGCATGTATCAATTCATTTAAAACTTGCATATGAGCTAATGATACCCACCAGTCATGGAGAACCTTAAAGCAGAAGTATCAATGATGTCAGGCTGTGATAATATTCAGACATTTACTCAAGAATAATTGACAAAGGAATAATGTCTTTGTTAGTTCTCTCTTAAGTTTGTCATAGTTATGAGTGATCTAAGTTGTCTAAAAATTTCATGAGATAAAGATATATGATTTTTTTTTATTCTTTCTCCTACTGTATGTACTACTTTAGGTTATGATACATGGGAGGGGGCTTCATGTTTGGTTGGGATGCTGATGGGAAGTATGAAGCTACTTGCTTACAGAAGGTAGCATATCCCACAAAGCTTAAATTGTCAGTTCATGGTTCACCTCACTTGCAAATTATTCTAACAGCTAATGATAGGCTAATGTTTATCATCCATATTGCTATTTGACAATAATTGCATAGTGCCACACAAAAGTGAAAAAGAATTCGGCAAGAATCTAAGTTCATCTTTCTTAAAAGCTACTGTAAAATGCCAAACAAGAGAACATCTGTTCCTAGATTCAAACCTTATATGAAGTCTTCATTAACTTAGTTGAAAGCAAATTCAGGACAACACTCAAAACCAGCTATAAGAAAATAACATAAACTTGACCAAGCGTAATTTTGAATATTCTTCATAATAGTAGGAAGATAAAACTAAAATTGAGCAACCAGGATATTTCATAGTACATGCAGCATTTTGTTTAGCACTTGACCTCCTTCAAACCATAGGCAAAATATATAAATGTTGGATCAACTGCACCATCCTTGTAGTATGCAAAGACCATGCTTCCATCGTCGTGCATGCTTTCGCCCACAAAACTGCAAAAGATACTATTTGTAAGGAACAAAGAGATCATAAGGTGCGTTTATGGCAGCGAACAGAAATAGAGAGAACACTTTCCGAGACACAGCAAGAATCCTATCTCAGCTCTCAATCTGAAGAAATCTATAACAAGTTGTCTAAAGGATAATTCTTAACAAATATGTGCATACCATCCCACAAAAATTATAACCCTCATAAAAAATTGAAGTCTAACTTAATAATAATAAATTCATTAGAATCTTTATAGACAATATCAATACTTTTATAAGGTATGAGTAAGAGACAGAGGGTCTTTCGTAGACTCTTTTTTCTCAAAGGGATTGTAGTGAAATGTATGAGAAGCAATAAGATAGTGCAGAAGAATTAGGGGAAAAAAGAATTTAAGGCTTGATCGAATCCTGTTTTTGTTGCTTTTTTCCCCAATATAACACCTGTAGGGTACTGAATGCTGATATAAAAAATTTGATGCTTACAATTGTAGATCTTTGAGCTTTGATAGCAAGAACTTTGTAGCTCCCTCGATGTGTTTCTTGAACAATTCTTGTTTCTCCTCGTCAAGTTTAGGTGTCAATAACTTGATATAACGCTTCACAAAAGTTACAAACTGCTTCTTATCAAAGGGAGGTTGTTCCTATTGATGATAAAAGAGACTTCAGTATTTTATTTCCAATTAAAAGTAAATAAATGTCGTTAACACAAAAAAAAAAACCATTGACCTGTAGTCTAAACGTGTCGACTATATCAACCACCTTAACTGCAGTGTCATCGACACCGTCATCATCTCCACCTTCTGCAGAAGGGTTTGCACCGATGTCTACATCGACAGTCCCTTTAACCACCCACTGCCAATAGATCATTACAATATGCTCAAAACTAAAGCAACATAAGTGCAAATTCAGGAACAAAATTACTAGCTCATCCTGAAAAGACCCTAGATGATATTATAAAAGTGGAGAAAAGGCCTTCTTCCAGAAACTAATATACAAGAAAAAAAAAAGAAGAGAGGCTAAAGTTGTAACAAAAATTGGTCCAACACAAAGACACATGAAATATGAAAAATACTGACCTTCCCATCAACCTCCCATAGCATCCCGTTTTCAATTTCCTTGCAGATAAATGAGTCAGACAAGAGCTCATCACCTAAAAAAGGACACAGTTATAGTCAGATTACAATACAATATGCAAACAAGAGGAAAGCATAAGGAACAATTATTATGCATACAGGTTGTGTTTACGAACAAAAGAGAAAATATCATAAATTTAATTAAGAAGTGGGACCTGTAATGAAATGACTGACCTACTGTTATTTACTTTTCCCTAAGAAACAACATAACCTGTTCTAATTACAAATATTAGACAGCACCAAATCAAATGAATGACAAGAACTGCAAGAAGTTGATGTTTCTCATCTTGTGGCAGTCAATGGCCAAGGTATGCAAAAAATTTAAACCTAAAATAACCCAACCAAGTCAAAAGTGAATTGCGCATATTTGTCAAGGAATCTGATATCATTGTGAAGCATTCTCTGCTAATGTTAGAAATTGCAAAGTGAAATACTATATATGTATATGTATATATATTTATGTATATATATTTATGTATATATATATACACATATATAAATGATTCACACATGAGGATCTACCAAAAATCATCATCATAAATCATGATATAATATTTTATAAAGAAATAATCTGACTTCTAAACTGATTGCAAAAATAATCTTTCCATCAAGAAAGTTTTCGATCCTACCACATCCAAGGTTTGGACATTAGATTTAAACCCCACAAGGCCATAAATAGGTCTGAGTAATTTGTGGTGTGAAAACTGCTTTTTCTTATAGTATCCAACAACACCCAATTCAGCTATATGTCAAAACGCTTCAGAACAAATACGACTGTGCCCATCGCATAACGATCACATAGCATACAAAGTTTCGATCTCAGAGGGGACTTAAGAGAGTAGACACGGTAACATAGCCCAACTCAGGAAGCCACTTAGATCGACCAAAATCCAGAACGAAAACAGAAGAAAACATAGAACATCAATTAGGGAAAAAAAGCAACTTTTATGATGGAGCTTTAACCCCAAGATCCAATCTTTCCGTCAGATATATAAATTAACCATCACAAATCCATTGATCTCTCAATAGAAACACACTCACTCTAAAGAGAGAAAATAGATCTTCAGATCTTTACGCATACCTGTAAGCAGATCTTGATACACCAACATGATTCTTAAACGGATCAAACCCTATTCCGGAGAAGGCGAGAGACGCGGAGGCGAGACAGAGAGGGAGAGGGAGCGAGAGAGGGGGAGACGGAACCCCATAAGGCGCTATTTATCGACGAGGGTTAGGGGGGACGTACGGCTCTCCCGTCTTTCCTTCCCCATCGACCCTCCAAAATTGACCATGATCTCACCTTTGAAGCGTCTGATGCCGAACGGACGGCCTCGGATGCTGCTGCAGCGGAAAGCCGCATATATTTCGGACGGCGATCGGATTCCCCCGAAGAAACGAACTTTATGGTTTCCCGCATAGAAACTCCTGTAGGGTAATGATATTTGATTCGACCCAAACCGATGACTTCAGTTTATTCTCGGTCTCGATGTCGATCGAACCCGGCTCGATCAGATCGGAAAGCAATTGGGCCGCAGTTAATTGCGGGCCCAACAAGCATTAAAATACTTCTCTGACTGTCATTGGAAGTTTTGGGTCCCACAGGTTCGTGAGACGGCTAGAAACGGCAGTGCTGTTTGAACGAACTCGTCCACGTGGAGGCGCTCGTGCGCCGTCCCTTCTTACCACAAGAGGACCTCGTTGTTGCTTTCTTCCCCTCGTTGTGCGTGTCTTGTGTTAGTTATGACCAAGAAAAGACGAGGGAGAGAGAAGCGGGGCGAAGAGGGGAAGGGAGATGGGGGAGAGCCCGAGCTCGTTCGAGACTCTAAGGAAGTGGGTCGTCGAGCACAAGCTTCGGACCGTGGGTAACCCATCGGATCTCCTCGTCTCTTTTCCTCGCGTTCGTTTCCTAACGTGAGGGAGATATGTTCTGATTGCGTCCTTTTGCCGGCAAAAAGGGTGCCTCTGGCTCAGCGGCATTGGGAGCTCGATCGCGTACAACTGGTCGCAGTCTAATATGAAGCCCAGCGTCAAGATCATCCACGCCAGGTTCGTCTCGATTGATCTATTGCCTCTCCGGTGGCTTCTACATTTGTTCAATCCTTCATTCCTTTTGTTCGTGTTTTGCTTTCATGTATTAACTGGCATCACCGCCGGCGGGAGATACATTGCAATTGCTGGTGTTTCGATGTTAGGGTTTGCCGCATTCTTGTGCCGTTGCTCGCATATCGAATTGGTTTTATGGAGGAGTTCTCTCTCTTGCTTTAATGTATTAACATCTTTGTCGCATTTTTCCGGCTTCTATCGTATTGTTCTTGCTCCTTTTTTTTGTATGAGACGATAAACGAGATACCTTTTTAATCATATATGAATTCCTGAAAGATAGAGGAGGCAACAATTGGTTTCAGTGAAGGTCTACGAGTTTAAAGAAGAATGGCATTCCAAAGCCGATAGATACATTTGTTCTCTAGCACTACGAACGCAAACTTTGTTATCGACCTCATTTCTATGATCGGGTGCAGGTTGCACGCTCAGGCTCTAACATTGGCGGCTTTAGCTGGAGCTGCAGTGGTTGAGTATTATGATCAGTATCAATCCAAATCAGGAGGACCAAAAGCGAATTAAAATGCTGGCGAATTCCTTCCCCCATCACAGAAGGATCAATAATGTTGGGCTAGCTGAGTTCACCATAGCTTTGCTCCGAAACAGAGTATATTACCAAGAAAGTAAGATATGTTCCTGCATTTTTGTCATATAAAATAACAGATATTTTCTACCAAAGACAATTTCACTTCATTACTTCTGCTTCTTGTTTGTAATTAAGTCAAGAGGAATGACCACCTAGCAATGGTAACATATGAAAACATGAGACTGCTACTTTGGTAAAGCCCAATGGTAAAACCATGGCATTAAAGTCCATTCATCCTTCATGAAGTACACACACATTGTTAACAAATGGGCACTGTTGTTCCTAGCAAAATATGCTTGGGCTTGTCATGATGACTGTGGTCGTCACTCTTCCATTGCATCCACCTCAGCTGCTGCTTCCACCTTCGACTTCAATGGGGTAATCTTGGTAGATAGTACCTCTGCAATCATGCGGATAGCATAATTAAAGTTTTCTGCTGGTGTAACCAAGCTTAGAAGAAGATATTCCTAGTTTGCTTTCTCAGCCTCCTACAGTTTTACTTGGATTCCAAGACATACCGGTATGACCCTTGAGAAAGTTATAGCCTCTTGAACTGACGTAGGTTCTTGGATTTGGCAACTGATGATTCCGTAAGTACTCGGTTTGGCCCTGATACCAGTAGAAAACATAAGCTATTGGATTAGTAACGATGGTGAGAAACTAAACATTTAAATGAAAAGTTCAAAATCGGGTCCATACTCTGGTTATCACACAAACATCAACATTGCTTCCACTTCCCAAATCATTGAATATCCCAGAGCATATAGCTTCCGATACAAGCTTTATTCCTTCGTCTCTCTGTACAGTCAACACCAGTGTTTGAGATGTGATAATAAGTGTTAAAACTCTTTGAGTTCAGACTTGCAACGAAAGAGAACCTATATTGCAAATGCTACTGTGATCATGCAATATGGAAAGGTACACCATTAATACACTTAGATTTTGATATGACATCATCAACATCAACAAGCTACTTAGAATAGGTATTGGGTCAGCTATAGCACACAACTCAAATTCGAGAAGCACTGATGAATATTTGCTAGGATCTGAAAACCAGCTACCAACTTAAAATTTCTCCTTTGGAGTTAGTTTGAACTTCTAGTCAATGGAAAAAAAAGGATTTAACATATAACCTTAAAAGAGCTAGTTGGCTGGTAGAAGAATCTACCTTCCACAAGGTGCTTTTTTGGGCAACCAAGGTACAACCCCTTAAAATTTCCAACAAATGTGGATGTCTACAAGTAGGGTAAACAACAAGAACTGACATAGGGAGCTATACTTAGCTTCAAAATTAATTGAGTAGAACTCGTCTGTTTCACTTACCAATTCTAACTTAGTTTTATAATTATGAGTAACCATATTGTAATAACAAATATGTTTTACTCTCGAAAATCGAATTGCAAGATAGACATAGAAATTCAATAATCTAAACGCCTAGAATTAGATTATAGGGATAAAACATTGAATATGCTGTATTTTGATTATAAATACATATATATACAAGTGATGTACTTTGGTTGGTTCAGTTAACTTGTGGCCTTTCCATTTTGCTGCCTTTTCATTTCACCTAATGGCTTACAGAACTGAATGATCTGCTACATGTTCCGGATATCAAACGTTAGTCCCTTCGGTCATTTATAATAATTGCCACTTCCATCTTTTACACCAATAAAGTGCAAGCTTGAGTCTTTGATCATTAGACTATTTAAATGCGGCACCTCGCCCCATATTTGGTGCATGCAACAGCTACCACTTAATCCTTTAAGACAATTAATGGTTTATAACTGACAGGAAATCATGAAGGCCTTGTCATCGAGTCAAAATCATCGACTATAACAGAATATGAATCTAGAGAAGATGTATTGAGTTGATGTAAAGTAATTTAATTTTTTGCTTTCTCCACAACTTATGACATTTTCAGAGCTAATAAGGCAAGTGGTAATTTTGACTTAGAAATTGGATAAAACAAAATATCATTACTATTTCTTGTTTCTAAGAATATGTGAAACATAAATGACTATACATTAATTTTCTTTGAAGCTCCACAAGGACTGTTTCTAAGAGTAGACAGATTTTTACCCTTGAAACATTCCTGCCAAGGGTTACAATCTGTTTTAACTTATCTAGAACATGTAGCAAAATGTCGTGCAGCCTTCATGGTTAATATGTCTCAGTTTTGTCCATTGTAGGGTCATTATGCTAATAGCAATTCATTTACAAATACTTCGTATCAAACATTAGATCTTGGATAGGTTATGATTAGCTATTCAGCAACAACAGTAACAGCAAACATATGATGTATGATAACCTAATATTGTTTACCCACCGTAAGACCCTCTCTGAATTTTGATTCAAAGACAGCCATTGCAGCAAGAGAACCAGAACCCATTGTAGCAAAAGGAAGAGTGTCAGTTGAGCCATGAGGGTATACCTACATAATAGTTACAACATTAGACGTCACAGCAGATATCTAGTAAATAAATAAATATTTTAAAATCAGCCACAAAAACTGCACTTACTGTGTGCAAATGTGGTCCTGTAATATCAACTCCACCAAGAACCAATGCAGCACTAACATGACCTTGGTAACTGTCGAAAATTTTAATATTATACTGGTAAAGCACTTGCCAACAATTTCAAAGACGACCCTACTTGATTACCATTCAATATGTACCTGAAAAGGTGTGATTTCAAAAGTGTAAGGGCAGTAATAACCCTTGATTCTCGACCAGTTGCATAACGGTGAAGCTGCAGCTGAGAGCTGACCATATCTGGAACCAGATAGATCAAACAAATCATCCATGTTAATTGGCAGAGATTCTTAACCCAGCCAAAAAAGGATTGGAATTTGGTGGTGATGCAATTGTGATATAGAAATTAAAAGGCCAATGCAGGCATCTGTCACATGCACCGGAAGGCCTACCTGTTACTGCCTCTGTATCAGCAGCAGTTCCAGCCCCACAACAATAAATATTTGGTGCCATATAATGAATTTTTTCACAATTCTTATCAGCAACTATAGGCCCTTCAGTGGCCCTTGTATCTGCTCCAAGTATAACACCATCCTGAAATAATAGTAATGTAAAGAACAGGTGAGGTGTGTATATATCAATACTTACAACCTTAGATCCTTTACTAACTTGAACTAGCAAATTAATACATTTTCTGCAAGCCTCACAAACTTTATAGAACACTGAAGAGACTGGTTTTGTTTGGTATTGATATGAGAAAGAATAAACCAAACAGGATATTTGCATTATTATACACTTTAAGATTTCATAAAATGACTTATGATAATTAGTAGAGCCGATACACAAGCAATCAGAAATCATAATATATGGAAATATCAAACAACCAATATGTTTGGCAGTCATCAAAACAGTTGCCGAGTGCATCATAAAGTGTGATCTATGAACACCAATTTGAACCTCAACGAGTTGTTGGTTGAAAGAATGTCAGTCCGCTAATACCCTCAGCTTCTTTCTTAAATGTGTTGAACAACATCGATGCAGGCATTTGAGACAGTTCGCCCAATTGTCTTATTGACTGACATTCCACTGCTTTTTTATTTGAGATGAACAACATAAAAGAAAACTTCTAAAATATTGAACCAAATTATGGAACTTTTACTAAGATTTTATTTGTCATATTGGCTGCATTTTGGTATATCAATGCATATTCTTAACATATACGCCTCAAGTAAATTGGAAAACTAAATATGCCTTGAGCATATGAAGAAAGACATATATCCTCCCTCCACATCAGATTAAGTAGCTTCAACAGATACAAAAACATACTTAATATTAACTGGTAATATTTATCCAATGACTCAATGGAAATATTAGTCAATCATTTACTCATTTGCAGGATTAGTCAACTGGGAAAAGGAAGGCAATATGCAACACAAAATTATTTTAGAAAAATTGACACTGTTCCCCGCAAGCTAACAAAAATAAATGCACGTGCATGAAAAAAGACATCCAAAACCTAGCCAAAATTCAGAATTCAAAACACAAACAACATATATGTTAGTGGTTAACTGTAAAGGAAAGATTCGTTTTTGCAAATATATAGACAATATTTCGAAGGTAGTTGCATATGACATCTCAATTTAGGCACCGCATGGATGCCCAAATACAATCATGAATTTATTAATATGTCATTAACAACTATGTCGTGGAGAATCTGGAGATAAACCGACAACAGTTAGAAAAAAAATGAAAACCTCATGCATCAAAGAAAGATTAACAAACACTTTACCAAAACATTGCAAATGAAAAGAGCTTCAGTTTAATAATTAACTGAATAACAGATCACTTGACTTAAATGGTAAAATAAACAAAAATGATAATACAGTTTAACCAGTTTACAATTGTAATATTGTTCAAGAATGAAAGAGCACATGCACCTCAAAGACCAATCCAACAATGGTTGTTCCGGTCTTTCTAAAAGTTGGAAGCTGATTGCCTTTTTTCAACAGCATTTCATTCCTTTGACACAGATCAAAGCTGAAGCCACCTCTTGTTGGAGCATCTGCAGCAAACCGAGCCATTCTGGAGAAAAACAAGAACTTAACCAAGAAAAATCACAAACAAATACTATTTGTAGGCCCAATTAAACTTAAGGAAAACATCCACAAAGTGCTATTGCAAGCAAATCTAAAGTACAAATTGCAAAAGAATGAACTTTGCCAAACCGACTATCACAATATAATAAATTCTCTCAAAATACAAAAAGAAAAAGAATCTTTCCCTTTTTAGTTCCATAAATACTGATATCAGTATAACTGACCTATTAAAACTTGACTTGATACTAACCAAAGAATACATCATTTCCATCTTAGGTACTACCATTATTCAGATCCCACTGCTGAAGTTATATTCCTAAATTGGTACCTCTTGGATTCCTAACATGAATAGCTTGTACTGTCACACCCCAGATTAAAAAAAATAAACCATCACTTCAAAATCCATGATTTACAGAGGACCCATTTTTTTTCAATATCCTCGTGTTTACAATTTTCAACTCGAAAAAGGGCCGCAACTTCTTGTGAGTGCTCAAGTGGCAAAGAAGTCTACTGCACCAATGCCTCAGGTCTCTTATAAATTAGCATGTTACCTCGAGAAAAAAAATATAAGATCAAAAAAACATATCAGCAACCATATATGCTGGTAAGAACCTTCGAAAAATCATAAAAAATAATATTTAATACTCATGAAACATATTCAAATATTAACAATTTAATATGAAATGACAACATATCAATTCATTATGAAACTTATGTATCAAATAAACAATAATATGTCTTATGCAGTAAACAAAATCATGTATCAGTTTCATGCATCACATCTCAATGGCATACATAACAGTAATGCAACAAAGGCATATATCATACTAGAGGTGCACTCTCCCAACAGCAAATGAAGAGACATACTCCATGGGATGGAGTCTCAATAGTGGATAAGAAGAACCCATATTGCACTCTCAACAGTAGATGGAATGGTGTTCCTCACCCACCCAAGTGAGGACATGTTTCAATAATGGATGGAGGAACCATCTATCTACCACGTCTGACGGCCCGTTGATCCCTAAAGGGAACCACCCTACATTTGGTGTATGAGCTACTAAACTATATCCATTGGTGGTTACGCACTGTGATGGGCCCATAACTCCTTTAATAGGATGCATTTCTAAGGTGGACTACTCAACATAGCCACATATATCACATGATAACAATTACATTACTATCATCGACTTAATATCAAAATAATGAAAAACCACTAATCATTTCCAAATCACAACTTCGAATAAAGTTTTTAAATTCATCAAGTCATAAAGACATGAGGTATCAATCTCTTAACAATCCTCAATTGACCTGAACCCTAATTGGAATAGCCTAATTGAATTGAACCAAACTTTATTTAACTAAAACCTAACCAAACCAACCTATAAATCCTTATTGAACCAATATAAAATCACCATAGACTAGTTTAATTTAGATATAATTAGTTTCAATTAGGTCAAATAAGTTTGAACCGATCAAATCGATACGCATTCACTCCGAATCAACTTGAACCAATCAAACTAGTTTGGTTCGATCAACTAATGAGTTCAAATCCCAATAAGCTACATATTACTGAGTCAAATTGGACTAACCCACCTAAGCCTCAAACTGGTCACGCGTGTGGCGCATGACTATCCCAAGTAGTAGGCTAGGCTGAGGTGCAACAGGCTGGTGAAAAGGGGTTACGGCATGGGTTAATTCATTAAAACAAATTTCTAAATCTATTTTTCATTAATTAAGCAATCTAATAAATTCATGATCCTAAATTTAAAACTAATTAGATTATAAAAATTCACACAAATCCTTGAAACAAAGATATGTCTATTTAAAGGAATTAATACTATTATTTCAATCCAAAAACAATAATTTTAACAATTAAATCACATCTTAAAAGTATAATTCAACAACTTACGATTTAAGCTTAAAATATAAGTCATGAATCAATAATTCTAACATCAAAATTCAACGGTCATTATTTACTAATAATAAATTTCGAAATTAAAATATTATCATACAACATAAAAATATAATAATTTTAATATCAAAGATTTCAAAATAAAAATCAAACTTTACAAGGTAGAGGACCTACCTCTCTTCGAGAAATCCACTCTTCAATCCTCGTGCTACCGGTTTCAATGAGGAATGAAGAAAGGAGAAGCCCTCTTTATATAGAAGAAGATGAGCCCACCCCAAAAGGTAAGAATAATTTAATTTATATTTAAATTATATTTATTTTATTTTCACACACAAAAATAAAATTTAAAATATTTACTTCCTAAGAGTCACATCATTATAAATAAAGATTTAAATACTCTGAACTTAGCTAAACATATATATTTTTACATATATCAATAACAATAAAAGATCTATGTAGTCGACTTCAAATAGTTGGGAATTATGATTTTTTTGTTCTTGTTGTCGTAAAAGTCACATCACTCATTAGGAAATATACCAATTAAAAATTTTCAGACTATTTAATTATTTAATTGATTGACTAAATTCCTAACTTGCCCAAACCATTAAAGAAACCAATTTAGTTTATTTCCTTAATCATATTACACAAACAAAGAAATAAGCAATTCAAATAAAGCAACACATTAATCATGGTAATTTGCTTTATGGTAAGGGAAAAATCTTTGGTCATTACATAAAACATATAGGGCCAAGTTCAAATTCGTCCCTGAACTTCAATTCGTGTCAATCAAGTTCTCAAACATCAAGACTTAATTCAATGTGGTTCTTCTAGCTTAGCTATCGTCTCCAACACATGATGGAATGTAGTTAGGAAAGACAATTATTTGGATCAACTGCAAAGATTGCAGATCATACAAATTAAAGTATGTGATGTCAAATTCTAACACATACAATAGAAGCTAAAGTTCACTCCTTCACCCTTCATCTTCCCAATATCATGGCTATTGCAAAAACAGATAGAAGAAAGGAGGCGAAAAGAGAAGGAAAAAAGTAGGAACAAATGTCAACCTAACTGCCAACGCTCGATAAGCAAAAAAGGAGAAGGAACATAAAAATTGCTTTCTTTTAGCTAATGCTGCATAAGATCACTTCTTTTGTGTGAGCCCTCAACTTTATCTGCAGCCTTTTTGCTTGATCATGAAACGGGAAGGAGATAAAGATGAAGAATAGAGGAGGAGATCATGGTGATGGAAAAAGAGAACTCTTAACCCAGGAACATACAAGACATTTTGGTGAGAAATTCAAACCCTTTAGACATGGCTGAACATATGGACAGAAGACTGATGGTAGGAACCGATTGCAACCACTAAAATATTTTTCAGGATTAAATTGACACAAAATTAAACTTTAGATACCAACTTAAAATTGGTCCTACAACAAAGTGACTGTTTGTGTAATTGATCCATAACTTTTGTAGAACCGTTAGCTGGAGATCTAATCAAACTGTCGAATAACTTCCATATGTAAATTTATTGCTCACTGAAAGGATAAGCAAAGAAATGGCCAATTTCTGGCAATGTAAATAACAGACTACCAGCAAAAAACAGCTTTTCCACAGTTGCTCGCTTTTGCAAGCTGATAAATGTGACTTACCAACTTGCAAATAGATCTTATTATTGATAACTAACAATAAACCTGACCCTCCACTATATGCTATTTCAGAACTCCAACACATATAACCCATTATAATTACCCCCTTATAAAAATCCGCCATTGCAGCCAAGAATAAAGCAAAAAATCAGAAAATCACATCAAAACAATCCACAACAGAGAAACACAACCCGTAACCAACCAAAACATACAAGAAAAACCCTAAAATCAAACAAAACACGAAACCCTAACTCCGCTTAGTCAAAACCAGGCTCCATAATTCAAACAGGACTCCTATTATTAGAAGACCATATCAGGCCGGCAAATATTTCGGATGCGATGTCCGCAGAAGAAAATTGCTTGAAAGGAAAGATCAATAGCGACAGTAAAATCGAGGCGAAGGCTCGACGAATGCAAAGCATATAGATGCATGCGGTGGAGAGACCAAGAGACAGAGAGAAAAAGAGCCTACCGCTCGCGATCAACCTCGACGATCTCTCTCTATCTCGCTTTGGCTTCCGGATCGAGAAGAGGTTAATTGCTGCTTCTGTTGCATCGTCGTTCTTTACGGCTCGGCTGGGAAAGCAAGGTCGTCCAACGAGGCTAATCGGATCAAACCTTGAATAGATGAGTTTGATCCGACACGATAATTTAATTGCCCGATCCGCACTGGTGAACTCCACGCCGCGATGGATCCACTAAATGGTCGGGTGATGGGCCGGGTAGAGCCCGGATCGATCCGAACTTGACCCGATCCGCAGCTGGTCACATCAAAACGGGTCGGATCATGTTTAAATACCTTAATCGGGCCGCTCTTGTTGGTTACCGAAGTCCTATCATTGGCAGCGGCGGCGGAGACGATGGTTCGCGGAGCGACGGCGGGGGCGGCGGCCGCGAAGGGAGGGAATAAGAAGGGGTCCGTTTTCGTCATAGATTGCGCGAAGCCGGTGGAGGACAAGATCATGGACATCTCCTCGTTGGAGAAGTTCCTCCAGGAGCGGATCTCGCCGGTGCCCTCGGCGATTCCGTCACCGTCACCCGCGACAAGAGTAAGATCACCGTCACATCCGAGGGGCCCTTCTCCAAGCGGTAATCACAAAGCATTCCCTGTTCTCTGCCCTAATGCAGCTTTCATCTTATCAATTGTTGGTTGCATTGCTTCCTTCTTTCATTGGATTGGATGTCAGTAGGACTTTCTGCTCAAAAGTTAGTAGCTTGCACGTTTTCTGAGTATTGTAGCTAGTTGCTGACCACCTGCATTGGTACTCCAAGACTGAATTGTGTTGTACTAGATGTGCAAGAGGCTCCATTGATGCACTTGGAATTGACTCACAGTCAGAGCAAATTCTACTTTCTCTGCATCTGAGTGAATGGTGCTTTTTTTATGTTTATTTTGACATAGTAATGTGGTTAGGAATGTTGTACTCATAACATGATTACATGAAGACAATTCATTATCAGGAAACAAAGAGCAGCAAAAAAAAAAAAGAATTGAATCAAAAAGTTTAATACTCTTTTAGCTGTTCATGATCATCTCCAATTGAAAACAGTAATGCTTAATATGTTTGTCAAAGTATTAACATATTATCCTTTTTTCATATGTGAATTAGTTATTACTGTCTTGATGATAATATCAAGTTCTGCTTTGCAACAAATTGAGAAGCACTTGAATCTTGCTACATTTTATGTATTCATCTACTTTTTAGGGTTTATTTTGATTTTTGTCATAATTGTAATCAAGGGCATGGTAAAATTTTCATGCTAAAAGAAAAGCTTAGCTGACATCCTTCTTATACTGCTTGGGAGCTGAATTGTAAGTTATCTACCAATTGTTACCACTATTTAACTTCAGAGAACAATAGCCAGCTTGAAACCTCCTTGTCATTCTGCTTTGCATGAGGAGACACTTGAATTCGGGAATGAAACACTTTTCTGTGAATAATGATCCACCTTTTTCTTCCCTGGCTGCAACCAAAGATGAACTTAGATTATCGAATTCAAAGATTTGTTCCGGCTTTTGTTGAGTTGTTTTTTGGAATATTGTTGTCTGGAATCCTTTTCTTAGATGCTAATAAATGTCAAGTGATATGAGTTGATATTGTAAAAGATTTGCCTTTCTGCACCTTTCTGCATTTGCAATATTGTGATCCTTTCAAGGTCATGAAGCATGATTTTGTCATTACCACTGTTAATCTGCTGCAGTACGTCTGCCAAGTAATTTAGCTTTCACTTTGCTGACTTTTAGGTACTTTCAAAAGTATCTGACCAAGAAGTACTTGAAGAAACACAATGTGCGGGGTTGGTTGCAAGTTATTGCTTCCAACAAAGATCGCAGTGTTTATGAGATGCGATACTTCAACATTGCAGAGAATGAGGGGGGATGATGATGACTAATTTCCTTCGACCCGTTATTCGACTCTTCCGGTAGCCAACGTCTCAACCGATATCGAGCGACAATAATCACGAGAACAATGACGAAGGTGAAGGTGCATATGCAAGGATGATGATGATGGCACATAAGCAATCGAGCGACAATAATCACGAGAACAATGAAGGTGCATGAGCAAGGACGATGACGATAGCACATGAGCAATGATAGTGACGAGGGCAAGGGTGTATGAGCAAAGCTATTATCTTTTCTTTTAGAAAATAAGAGAAACTAAATGAAAAAGGAGTGCAAATTGAGAAAAAATAAAAATGAGAAAATATTTTGGGAAAATTGTCCCTAAAAGTAAATCGTTTTTTCTCTAATATTTTTACCAATTATTTGATTCCACATGTTTCTAAACATTTTTAGGTAGAGATTAATATCGTTTTTAAGTTATAATTGTCATATTAATGATCAATCGATAAAGAATAACTACACGGTGAGTTCATTGTCTCATGGTCTTCTTTATTTCGTTAATAATGAAAGCCTCCACAGCAGCCATTTAAATAAACTTTCCTATCAACAACATCAACGCTAAAGGACAGCTTCAAATTTATATCAAATATATCTTAGGGTACAATTCTTTCGTGAGGAAACCTTCTTGTGAATTACTTCTGCTTGGCTTAGTTTCAGAAACACAATATAGAACTGATTCATAGTTGCAAAAGATTATTATAGGAGGCAAACTCAAAGAGTTGTGTCACAAATCTGTTTTGAGTAAATATGCCCACGAAATATGGTGAATGAAACCAAATATTGGCCTCATAAAGCAAAAGATCCAGTATATGCTGGATTTGAAATCCACTAACTTAACCAGGGTTATCAAAAATAGGTAATGCCATTACTGAAAACTGACAAATAACACAAGTTTATCCAACTCCATCAGAACAAACAAGTATCAAAAGCCCTAAAAGATGCGGAATAAAAGTTTCAACTAGTTTTTGCAACATCTCACAGTTGGAAACGAAACAAAAGGAATGCTCCACGAGCCACTTGTACCTATTCTGCGACAAATAGTTCTCAGCATTGTTACTTTTACTTCTTAGCTTTCTTGGGAGCCCTGCATGAGAAACACTTTCCCACATTAGATTACGAACATACAAGTTCTCTGGGTAAAAGTTGCACGGGAAAGATCCCTTACTCGGATTGAGAAGCAGCTCCTGCGGGTGCTCGGTCTCCAGGCCCCTGCTCACAATGACGAAACAGATTAATGAGTTCAACAGTCGCAAACTACTAGCAGCTTAAACAAACTTTAGTTTCGAGGAAAAAAAACAACCGGCAAAGCAATTTTAATAATCAGACAGAGTAACCATCCAGAGTGAGTAAAAGAACAGTTGAAATCCGGTAAGCTGCATATTGTAAGCCAAAGAAAACAATATATAAAAAATTATTGGACCTGAGCCAGGCGTTCCTCTCTCCTGGCGATTTTCCTTTCTCTGCTGGCCTTGCTCTTGGCTCTCTTGGCTTCAAACTGGTCAGACAATGTCTTCTCTCTTGCCTTCTCAGCTTTGGATTTATGAATACTCTCCATCAGCACCCTCTTGTTCTTGAAGACATTACCCTTAACTTTCATGTACATGTCATGGTACATATGTTTATCAATCTTCTTTGATTCACGGTACTTCCGAAGCAACCGTCTGAGAACTCGCATTCTGCGCATCCAAAGCACCTTAGTTGGAAGCCTAGCTTCCCTTGTTCCCCTGCGCTTACCTGGGAGACAAAAAAGATTAACAAAATGTATAGATAGATAAAGATAAACTACAATAAAATTAACAAAGATGAGCAAAAACAAAATTATTACCATATCCAGAATGTCGTCCTTTTCTCTTTGCCTCCAGTGCCCTCCTTGCACGAGATCTCGAATGAATCTTGGTTGGCTTCCTGATGACAAAACCATCCTTGACCAGCTTTCTAATGTTTTGGCCTGCATCGTGAACCCATTAGATAATTACAAGTCCAATGAAAGCAATGGATAAATGAGATTCTTAAATATAACGAATTGACAAAACAAACAATAGCATTAAAAATTCATCTGCAAATGACCATTATAAACTAATGGCTCCATTTCATTTCTCCTCACCCTAATCAAGGATATTTGGGAAAAGGCTGAAACCAAGGTATTACACACGATGACAACAGTCATAACTGGGTTTCCATAGTATTCCATGTTCATCTCTCATGGTAAAAATATTGATTACCCAAGGAACTCTCATCGCCCAATTAGGGTTTTTTCATCCCACACTTCCCCAGCCTAAAAATACAGAAGATTTTGTACCAATTATTTGCACATCTCAACTCAAATGACAATGACAAGATACTATTTTCTTTGAAACAACAACAAACTATAAAACAAAAATAAAATAAAAAGTGAAAATTACAAAATGAAGTACATCATTGTCAAAATACCATTCACAAAAGTTCCAGCAGTCTTTTTGTGTTGTCAGCTCCTCCATTCTAAACATTCAGAAATTATTACATACATACATACATATATATATAGACACACATTCAGAAATTACTATACACACACCAATAATAGAGAACGAGTCAACTCAACTATACAGTTCATGTTTTTACTCTACAGGGCCTAAAAGAACATACTCAAAAATTTAAGGACAATTTGATCATGTTACTGTATTTCAATAGGCAGCCCAATGCACAAGGCTACTGCCAACGTGAAACAGAAACATCAGATGCATGCAATCTTAAGTTGGTTCCATATATTTGAATGCTGGCATTGAGATCACACCAGAAGTACCTCTCATGTCAAGCACATTCTCAATCTTGACCTAATATTTATATTCAAGCAGTGATACTCGTACATGCCCATTGGCAAAACCATTAAAATGAGATGAAAATATGAAGAATGCAAGAATAAAATTATCTTATCCAGATCTCGAAGTATACAAAGTGAACCGATTGTTATGTTAAAACAAATTCATGAGCAAAAGAGTGGGAATGGCTATGAATATACGCCTGTATTAACAAATTGACAGGTATAAACACAGTGCACTCATATATTTCCATGTGATCTAGATTGTGTCAAAAAACATAACAATAAAACCTGGGTTTGTATGTCACTCGCATGCAACTCAGGCAGTCTTTAAAATTAATCCTAGTCCCCAGCTTGTTAATCAGAAAGATATGGAACCTTAATATTTCAGCTGCTAAATGCATCAAAAGAACATATTAACAAATATGAAAATAAATTTCCTTGGCAATGTATTAACATGACAAAAGCACGTATTCTCATGCACTACAGCCTATAAGACCATGGTAATCCTTGATCCAACCCAACTTAAGACTGGCCTGGGACTTGTGGGTTTGATTTACAGTTACATAGGTTTAATCCAACAAAGATAAATTACAAACTGATACATCAAATTCAAAAGTTTAACCATCTTAACCCAATACAACAATTTAATTATCATGACAAATAAGATAGGTGTGTCATTTTCAACTAACAAATTAAATGAGTTATGCTAGCATATCAGATAGCCTAAGTAGGACAAGAACCATGTCATTTTGAATCAACTCGACAGGACCAGTTTATCAAATAGGTTGCACAAATGGTCTTGGTTCAACATTTAATCAGATGAACAAATTGAATTTATTGAGATTTTGATAGTTCATCCATAGTATCTGACACAACTGGATCTGACACAACCCCTTCCAGTCCTAAATACAGGATATCAAAGGTTCGACTATCATAAAATATTCAAGAAATAACGTACATTAACACACCATTTCAATCAATACTCAGTGAGGTAGTATACCGCTAAATACATCAAACAACAAATTTGCAGAAATTACCTAGCATCTCGCTTGTTAAATCATCCAAAAATCTTTAAACTTTTATTAAAGGGTGAAGAATAAACCTTAGAAACTACATCAAAGGTAAAGAAAGGTTCACAAAAGATATAACCTAAGACTTCTCAAAGCTCACGATGAGAGCAAATGGCCATAACATAACTAGCAATTGTAAGAGGGATAAAACTGGAAAATGCTGGCCTACAACCATTCTATAATCATAAGCGAGGATAAACATTCTGGAACAAAAATCAATTTGCGACAATGCGTTATCGAACAACTAATGACAACGCAAAGAATCGTCGCGTTAAAGACTTAGAATTGCACATACGAAGTGCCAGAGCAATAACGTCACTGGATACATCGAAAACACGGGCCTTTACACATAAAATATCCCCAGAACTCCAGACGTAATAAACCTAAGAAGATAACTATATCTACAACGATGACGAGTCTAAGAAATCATCCAACAACCATGATTCAACCACGAGCAAAAATAACATTCAGAGATACAAGAAAGGAATTGGTCATCCCTGTCAAAGACCAAGCGATCAATAGGCTTAGAATCCAGCGGCTGTATTCGGATCCAGACAACGAGGACTATCAACAACGATAAAGTAGAGCTCCTTACGGGAGTTGGCCATGGAGATCTCGTTGACCTCATTGGGGTCGAGCCACACCTTCCCCCTCCCGCACTTGAGGACGCTGGCGGCGAGCCGCTTCTGGAGCTTCAGCGACACCATCGTGCTCCTCTCCTGCGATGTCCAGAAGAACGCTGCGGAGGAATGCTGCGGCGGCGGAGGCCGAAGGCGTCTATTTGTACACCACTCATCTTAGGGTTTCCGAGGGCAAAATCGAAATAACATCTTCTCCTATTATAATGGGCTCGACCAGGCAGAGACGGCCCGGCCCATGTGGTCAGTTGTTCGAGTTGGTTCGGCGAGACCACGTTGCGAAGTCGGATCGCGATCGAGCTAATACGATTACTTCCGATTCTTTTTTATGTCGATTAGGGTTTGATAGAGTACCAAATTTGCCCAAATTATAGGAAAAGAAATGTGAAAAAATCTTTTTATTTAATTAAAAAATATTGTAACTGGTTTTATTTAATTAAAAAGTTTAGTGACAATAAAAAATGTCAACTTTATTCTATGTTTTGAATGATTCCGAATGAAAATTGTGTAAAGGTTTTGACATATTTCAAAATAAACCATGATAAAAATTTATTTATTTTTTACTTTGTCACAAATATAGAATCAAATATCTTGAAAATATTATAATATTAATAATATTTTAAGAAATATATTTATAATATATTTAAAAAAATTCAGAGTAAGGTTTCGAGAAATCGTTTAATAATTGAAACTCGCTAACTAGGATAATATAACACATCATCCTTAAAAATATATTAACAATTATAAGAATCTTATTTTAAAGATGTAATATCAAATATAATAAATTTATTTTGAGTATATATTTATCAAATATAATGAATATGATATATAGCAGTGTTCATATCAATTTGAACCTGAGTTTGATTAAAATAAGATAGTTTCAATTGAAATTGCTCTAATTTGATTAAAACTTTTGAGCTTAAAATCCAATAAATAATTAATATAGTTTGATTAATTAATTATCTAATTTTTAATTTTAAATAATTTTAATATATTTTTCTAAATATTCTCATAGCACCTAATCAAGTGCAAAAAAATTATGCGGCAGGATTAAAGTGAGAAAAAGATGATAACATAGACAATAAAAGAGAGAGAGAGAGAGAGAGAAGAACATAGATGGCTCCTCCTACATATACAAAAATTTAGTTTAGTAATCCATTGATTTCTAATGTAAGAATGTATTTTGTTAAATTGTTGTCTCATATGCTTATTGATTTATGTGATCATGTAAATTATACAGTTCATTAGCAGATCAGTAATACTAGTGGTTATTATGCTCAATTCCATTTAATAAGATATATTTTGGGTTCAAGATACGTCACAACCGATATCATGCTGCGTTACAACCGAGTCAGCAAGGGGAGCACCCCCACATGTCAAGTCATAACCCATTGGTATGTCCCGTCCCGGAAGCTCGGAACGATGCCCGCACAAAAGTATCGTCTCATCTCTCGATGATCGGTCACCACGTCAAACCCGTATACAACCGACCCTCGTATAATAGTATAAAAGCCCTCGGCCGCCATTCGGCCAGTGAGGGGGAGAGGGAGAGGAAAAAGAAGAGAAATACAACTACTGACTTGCTCGTCGGAGGGGCCAAAGTTGGGAATTACTCGACGAATGTCATTTTTGCAGGAAAGTGACCACCCTTGAGTCGCGAGTGTCTCAACCTGGGAATTATCATCTAGTGTACGAAGGTGAGCTACCGATCAGCCTAGAGACGGAGAGACACTGCTCAACACGGACGACGCACAAATCGAGGAACGCCGATCAACACCCCGTCGCGAGGGCCCGACCTACCTCGACATCCAATTCAACTGATAAAAAACTCCGACATCGACCCGTGGACCAAGCCATGCCGACTAATCAACCACACCACATTTGTTGACCAACAGCATCTACATCCATTTCTAATTTAATTCCAAAGAGATTGAAAGTATGCAATTGGTTGTTATATTTCATATTTAAAATTGATTTGATTCCATATAAACTGATCAATCAATCGAATCAAAAAGGGATTTTTGATAAATCGATACCAACCAAATCAGTTCAAGATCGATTTATAATTATATACAATAAAGTTAGAAGGAAAATATAATATGAAAATAATATATATATATATATATGAATAATTTTCTCAATATTATCAATGATACTTTTAAGCATCCAAGTCACTACTAAAATGTGCACAAGAGTAGCCCAAAGCACAAATTAATGAGAGAAATCTTGTTAGCCTAGAAAAGATGAGAGACTTGTCAAGAACATAACTTTTGCTAAATTTATTGGATTTTAAGCTCAAAAAGTAATCAAAGCATCCTCCAAAATATAGTAAAAATATTAAAATATTTAAAAAGAAAAAAAAATCTCTCCCTAAAATTGAAAGAATAATTTATTTTCTCTCCTAACCTGACTAGCTAATTTAATATGGGAAGAAAGGGTCGAGAGGAGGAGGAGGAGGAGGCAGCGGCGGCCTCGAGCTGACGGTCAGAAGGCGAAGCAGCACGTCTAGTGGGAGAGGAGGGGCGGCGATGGGTTTCCCGATGAGTTTCTCACGCCAACACCCAAAGCTTCACAGTAGAAACAGTAGGGAACATTGGTTTTATCTTTTACCTTTTTTTGCCTTACGGAGTTGTTGCCGTGCCATTTCTACGTCTCTCTGAGCTCACCTGCGCAGACCCTTCTCCGCACCAACCTCGGGGATTCAGTCCAAGCCATGGCATCAACGTGGTCAATAGGGGAACTGTTGGCCCCCTCTGGCCATTTCTTTCTCCTCTTTGAAGCAGTGAGCTACTGAGAAGCACCGGCATCCGCACGTACGCTGTCGTCTTGGCTCGTCCTGGAGCTTACGGCTTATTCTGCTCTTTACGCAAGAAAGTTCATCGGAATCTTCTTTGGCTCGGTAGAAGCTATGAGTTGTGGATGTCCGGTAACGATCTAATTCTTTATCGCACTTTCCCCGAACCAAACCTCCGCTTAAATGACGGCTATAGAGGCAGCGGTGGCAAGGAAACGTTGCAGAAGGCGACCGCAGAAGAGGAGGACGAGAAGGAGAGCAGAGGTGAGAGAAGAAAGGAGGATGCGTAGCTCGGTGCAGGGAGGCGACGACGCCAGCGAGGCCAGCGCGGCCTTGGCTAACTGCTGGTGGCGCTCCCTCATTGAGTTCGACGGCGACAGCGAAGGCGGGAGGACGGAGGCCGCCGCGGGATCCAGGGGCGCGGTTGCCTCGCCTCGGGTGCGGGTCCTGAGGGAGCTCGAGCGGCTCGCGGCGGCAGCCAACGTGTCCCTCGACGACATCCGGCACAAGCTGCTGACGTACAATGCTGGCGACCTCTGGCTCCCTGCCGGTGGGATTCCCAAGCACGAGACGGACATCCCCCCTGTCATCACCATCCTGCTGCTCGGGCTTGCCGGCACCGGCAAGACCGCGCTGGTGGATCTCATGTACTGCGTTCTCGGCCGCGCCGGATTCCTGCCTTTCGCTCAGAGCATCCCTCTCGCTGGTAGTTGTTTCTTCCTGTAGAAAGACCTCAAAGATCCGATCTTTCTGCTTCGTCTTGCATCGTTCTCTGCAAAAGTTTCGATCTTTATTGCCTTCTTCTCGAGTGCTTCCTTGATGAGCTTCGACTTTTCTTGCCAAGCATCGGTTCCAGTTGTTGTCAGCCTGGATAGTCTTCGCTCGTTTGGTTCTCTTTTCGGAGAGATCACTCGTTTGTCGATAGATTTCTTTCCCTTACGGGTTGTAGTTTGTTTTCACTGATCCGAGGATGGGATTTCGCAGGCAACGACGGGCGGACGCAGTGCCTGGAGGAGCACAACGTGCTGCGGTCTATGCGGAGCGGGTTCTGCATCTTCGACTCCCGCGGCCTCGACTGCGACCGGATGGCCGACGGCCTTGAGGAGGTGGCGGAGTGGATGAACGAGGGCGTCCGCCACGGCCAGCCCTGCCGCGGCGCAAACCCCCCCGACGCCCCTGCTCCCGCCTCCGCGCCCCCCGCTACGCGCTTCCTCCGCCGACGGGTCAACTGCCCCGTCGTGGTGGCCAACCTCTACGAGCTCCACCACTCCCTCCTCTCCGGCGACCCCCGCCCCCTCGAAGCCACCCGCGACCTCTTCCACTACCCTCCCATCAAGATCAGCCCCAGTAAGTCTCACCACAACACCCGACCTCGTCCTCTAATCCCGCCGAAGCATTTCATCGAACACTCATTTTTGTCTGAACAGCCGACAGCCCCATCCTGGTGCTGACGCACGGCGACGAGCTATCGCCGGAGGAGAGGATCCAGGCGCGGGTGAAGACGTGCGAGTACCTGGGCGTGTCGGAGACGAACGGAGTCTACGACATATCGTGCCTCAACGAGTACGGGACGGCGGTGGACGAGATGGACCCGGCGACGTCCTACGCCGTCGCGGAGGCCATCTTCCGGGCCCTGGTGGTGGCGGACAGGACACACCCGGCCAAGGCCAGCATCAAGGAGTGGCTACTGGTGGTGATCACGTGGGCAATGTGCGCCCTCTCGACCTTCTTTGCCTTCCTCTCTTGCTGCTGCTCGAAGCTTGCCAAGGCCAACAGAGAGTACACCAAGTTGAGGACGCAGTGAGGAGGATGATCTCTTGGTTCTGCTACTGTATCTATGGATGGTGGTGCGAAGCAGTGTTGATATTGCAATGATGGACGACTTCTCATCAGATTAGCAGCTGACTTTTCCTTGGACTAACATGGTTCTTTGTTCTTTGTTGGTGGATTTGTGGCATTGCAATATCAACACTGGGTTATGATGCTTGTTTGGTATATTTTATGATGTTATATTAATAAAATGAGCTATATGATACTCCATCATAGAATCAATATAATGCATCGAGTAAATATTTCTCAATAGAAAACAACATTTTTTTTAGGTAGATCATTTACTCAATAGAAAACATCATTTTTTTTTAGGTAGATCACTAAGAAAGTTTAAACACTAAATATATAAATATTTTTTTTATTGAATTATCAATAACAATTATGAAAAAATATTTTAAGAAAAATAATATTCATATTTTTCTTACTCTTCATAAAAATATAATTTTGGAATCACATCTTCATTAATCTATTAACTAGATGCACAATACTTCATTAATATCAAAGTTGGATCAACTATCTCTATAAAAAAAAAATAATTTATCGATGTGTTATAAAATATATCGATTGAAATGAACACTGTTCTTGAATCCTACCTTCATTATTTATTTTTTTACAAAAAAAAAAATCATACTTTTTACCTCAACCACCTTTGGTTTTCGAATTTTATAATTATTTTTAATTTTCTTTTTATTTATATACTATGCTATTATTTTAGGTTAGCAAATGACAATTTATTTTTTCTTTATTTTTAAGCTTACAATAAGCACACGTATCTTGTAGTTGAACCTGCGCCGTCAGATCTCGATCAGACGTCAGCCTTGCGCGTAGCTCAATTCAAGTGTTTTACCCATTTCCGTCGTAGTTTCACTTCTCAGGAGCAGGGATCAGCTACATCAAACCAAACAGCAAACGACCGTGTATCATGCACATTCTTGCTCTGGGTCCCACTCAATTCTCCTCCAATTGGGCAGTCAGAACCCTCCACGTCGTGAAAAGCGAGTCGTTGCTGCTCGACGTCAAACGGCGGATCCACGCTTCTTCTCACATCCGCCTAGTCCGTTGATGCGGTAAGGTGTACCCTCACGGGGAATTAAATAAGCCGGTCGTTTTTTCTCCCCGTACTCTCATTGGCTTCGGCCGGATGCCTTATGCGGTGACACCTCAGCTTATTATATTACTCCACGGCGTATTTTTTAACGATAAATAATTCATTTTTTTTTTGGCCTCTCTCCCTCTATTGTTTTCTGTTTCCCTCCACTCTCTTCACTCTCAGGAGTTCTCCGCCTCTCTCTCACACCGTTCCCCCACTATATATATAGAGAGAGAGGAGATGCGTGAAAGCGGAGGCCATTACCAATCACAGTGAATCAGGGCATGATGGATCGAAGTGACATGGTAAGGCTGGTTGTGCTTCTGTTCTTGTTGTGTCGTGGTCTTGCTCGCTCTTCATGTTTGGTGATTCATGCGATTGTTTGCGGTGGTGTGCTGTTTCTTGCTTCGATTCCATCTGCAGGCTTCGTGTGATGCAAATCCGAGGAGCAGCGATAGCCAGATCAAGAGCTGTACGGATTGCCGAGCCACAAAAACCCCTCTCTGGCGAGCTGGCCCTACTGGCCCCAAGGTACTATCCCTGAGTCGTTTCGGTCTTTGATTGGCGATCGGATTTGCCGCTTGTTTCGTTCGAGTTTTTTCGTTGTTGATCTGATGATCTGTGCGATGGCAGTCGCTCTGCAACGCGTGTGGGATCCGGTACCGGAAGAATGTAAAGGAAGCGGGAATGAAAGTGAAGAAGGAGAAGAGAGAGATCGGCGACGGAGGAGGCCGGAAGAGGTTTGGTGTGTATCTTAAGATGCAGATGTCCGGGTTGGGTTTGTGGAAGCAGATATCCATGATTCGGAAACGGAGGAGATGGAGGAGGAGGAGGAGAGAAGTACTTGGGGAAGAGGAGCAGGCCGCCGTCCTACTGATGGCCCTCTCGTCTGGCTTGCGATAGGATTTGAGCCCCTATAAGATTATCGCCACCCGATTTCCTTTTCTTGGTGGAGAAACGGAGGTTTTCTCCCCGTTCTACTTTGTCATGCTACCGGCAACTTGGTGAAGCATCAGGTTGCCATCTTAATTATCTTCTTGCCATTTTACCTCGCCCTACCACGTTGATTCATCCATGTAACTTCATCAGTTCGTCCTCGAGCTAGGGAAGCTCGCTACCTCAAACTTCATGAATAATAATATCTTCCAGGTTTTGCATATTTTTGCTGATTATTAAAAGCCACGAACATATCGGAAGCAAAATTAGGTTTGGTAATATAATCTTTGTACTGTGAATGTTGATTGAAGTAAATTTTCTTCGAGTCTGTCTTGTTGTGTGCAAGAATTTAATTTGCCTTTTGGAATGGTATACCTTAGTCACTGATCAGATTTTGAGTTTTATGAACTCTTTCATTTGAAGGGAAAGGTTGCTTACATTATCCCAGACCGTGCATTAAGGTGAGCTAGGTATATTTGGTCATCTTTCTCTCAACTCAAGTAGTCAATGTTGTGAACAAATTACATTATCCCAGACCTTGCATTATAGTCTTTGTATTATGCTTGTTGATGCAGGAAAACTTATTTGTGTCCGTTTTGTTGTGAACAAGAATTTGCTTTTGGAATGTGGGTCAAGAAGTCAATGATCAGGTTTTCAGTTTTTTAAATTCCTCTATTTCAAGGTTATTTGATGCAAAGTATACTTATTGGCCATTTCTTTTATAAGCTTAAGTATTCAATGATGTTGCAAGTCACACTCACTGAAGGGTCTCAAGAAGGTTTGTTGATGATTGTTGGAAATGAACAAGCTGTGAATGCTGTTTGTAAGCATCTAAAATATGAAAAGAGGGTCCACAGGGCAGGAAAAAATGGTCCCTTTCATGTGGATTGACTTTAAGTGGTTAGTATGGTCTGGACTTGTCAGTTTGCTATGGTCATCATCATTGTTGGAAGCTGTCACTGCTGTTTGTGACAGGAAAACATGTGTGAAAAAGATCCAAGCATTGTTGGAAGCTGTAGCTCGATAATTTTACTCACTGTGGTCAGTTTTAGCAATTTGAGTCTTCTTCTAGACAATTATAGACTTCCGATACTAGATTGTTGTAGCTTGATAAATTGTGTGTTGCTAACAGTAGATGTCCTTTGGATAGTATCATGTTGATAGATGCTTGCTCCAGTGAGAATCTCCATGGGCTGCTACCTTGGTTGGTGAAGGCCAAGAAACCTTCAAATTGCAGCGCTCAGTTCTAAGCTTTCAATTGTTTAATCTCCCTGCCTGCTTGTCCCTCTTGTCTTTTATCTTGGCTTTCCCCTGCTTCACTTGTCCTGCCATCAGACTTGTCATTTTATGAAGAAGGCATCACTTTCCGGCACTCATGGAACATTCCATTTTCTTCTCATTTCTGTACTTTCTCTTAGACTATTTTGAATTATACATCAGATACCATCTTTTCTTTTGAATCATGATATGTTGTCTAATCCTCTTCGTGCTCAATTTTAGCAGATATGTTCGTGACTCAAATCTTCATCACTTGAATCGCGAGGTGTGAAATCTTGGCCACTTTTCAGAAAGTACAGAACAAAAGTTTATTCAGAAACACAAGGTACGAATATTTAAGAAAGTACACTGCCAATCATGCAAGTTAGATTTATGTTGTTTGCTGATAGGTGAAGAGTAATATGTCACACGTTATATCATCACATAGGACACGTGGTCGATCGGCCGATCATTAAAAGTCATGATAATCATATATTACTGGTATGTAACGATTAGATCATGAGACACACATATCACAGAGCAATATGTGGTCGAGCGATCGATCATTTGAATCTCGTAATTGACTTGACTAATCTACGCGGGTGCAAGGGTCGACGGACATCACGTGATGTCTTCGTCCGAAGCGTCGCACACCCCCCTCTTGTTGTCGGTGACACTGGGCGTAACCGTTTCCGGAGTCACCTATAAAAGGGATCAAGTTGTACTCTCAAACATAACTTTGTTTAAAATTAACTTGATTATCGAATGGGCATTCGTTACCTCCCGATTTAGTTTTGCATATTTGATGTTCTACAAATAGTAGTTTGAATTGAGACCGATTTGAAATGAATCTTGATTGGATCCAAATCATTATCTTACCCTAGACAACTAGAATCTGCACTAATGTGTCCACAAGAAGAATAATTTTCTACTAAAATTAACCCTAAAAAAAAGGTCGACCAGATTAAAACAGTATCTCATTGTTGATAGTTAGATCTTAGGCTTACCAGGTTGTATTAATCATGAACTACTTCAAAATCTTAGATACACGAAGCATCTCAAGATCTGGGCTAAATTAGTTTATTTTGAATGAAACACCAGCCATGCTTGAGAAGATAAGATCATCACATACTATGGATCAGTACCTTGCAATGAGAACATTAAGCTTGACTGCTATCTAACTTTTCAACATGTTTTGTATCTTTAATTTTCTTCAAAGATTCTTAAGACATCTACAATTGAGATTCTGTATGAGAATACAATAATAAAAAGGCTATGATAGACAGTAATAGGTTCCAGTAATTTATGCTTTGAGTTAAATTCTGTCAAAATGCAAGATTCAAAAAAATAGAGCATCTTTTCCCAAACCATTCAGAGCATCTTCCCAAAAAAAAAAGATGGTGACAGAGAGGAAGGTATCAAGAAGATGTAAATTAATATTTAATTATTTGGAATCACCATCACTAGTTGAGATAGACCTTTAGAATATGTAATACATAGAATATGTAATACATCCGACAACATGAATATCGAGAAAAGATTGTCGGTGAAGAAAATAATTAAAGTTGAATTAAATCTCCATGCTTTTTTTAAGAGAATCTTCCTTGAATTCATTTCAGTGTAGTCACTCAAAATTTTTTAAGTTAGCTGGCATGTGTTAGTTGTTTACAAGTAGAAAAAGTATTTTTTAAATAATTCATGATTAAAAAATATTTCTTTTGTGATTTGTGATAGTGTGGCAAATCTGGTCAGCCTGTTTTGTTATTTTTGCTTGGTTGGTGTCTCCTATCAAGTATTGTCATGAATTTGGAATTTTAGTAGACATGACCTTCACAGGCTTGTTCATATGGAGTAATACGAAATAATTCAGCATATAATATAAAGGAACCGGCCGAGTCATTTAAAGTTTACATCGTATCTATTCGATGTTATGTACATGAAGTGGATGAATCTATAGATTTACTATGATAAATCTGGGTTAGAAAAAGCACTTTTGTTATTTGTACGAAATGGGAAAACCCAGAAAAGAAAAATAGAGTGGAAAAAGAAAGTTTTTCTTTTTTGCAAATTCGGATCTGGTTCCATTGATATCTCCTAACTTATTGATCAAAAGATTATTTATTATATTTTTAAAGAGTTTTCATAATATGTTTGTTAGTAGAAAAAGTCATTGATGTCTTGATCAATCCGACGTGATTCAGACTCGTATATGTAAGGTTATTCGAGATGCCTTCGAGATGAGACGATAAGATCTGAAGGTGTCACCTGCACTAAGAACGAGATCGATAAGGGTTTCTCGATCTAGTCCATTTGATACGTAAGTTAATAACTCGAAGTATTTGAGCGTGAACATAAGTGGTCAAAAAAGATAATCTCTAGAGGGATATAATATTTCATAGAATAATATTATATAAGGACGTAGTTTTTAATCATCCCTATGGATCTCCTTTTCTTTTCTTATTCAGGTGGATGACAAGATGAGATAATTTTAAATTATTTATCTTAGATTTATTTTAAATTTTTATTACCTAATTTTTTTTTTTTTATTAAGTGGTAGTATATTCTCTATCGCTCTTATTGCAATTCAGATTTATGTTCGATTCTTTACTCGATTTAGGGCTGTGTTTATAGTTTCAAAATATAATATTTATGACGTCATAAAAAAAGACCGGTTAACTCATTATTATATTACATGACCATATGACAGTGTTCAAACCAGCCATTGTGGACCTGCCAATTGGCCCTCCTCCGAGACAGAGCGAGATGGTCCATTTCTTAACGCCAAAACAGTTTGTCGCCTCAAGCTTTTCGGGTGGGCGCAGTGCACTCGTGAGTCGTCGCCGAGTCATCGCGGCCACGCGTTCCTTTCTTCCCATTGGAACAGAGCGGGCCACAGTGCAACAGAAAGCACAGTCAATGTTTACCTAACGCGCGCATTGGTGAACAACCTTCACTTGATGGCGACAACCAGTTTTCCACCTTGGAATGTCCCATCATGTCTAATCAGCTGATGCCGTGACGCTGTCACCATGTGGGCTAAGTGAAGTGTTGCTGCCAAATGACGCCCCTTCATTGCGCATTTGTTTACTATTTAAAGGCTTAGAAACTAAGAATTTTAGAAGTAAATAGAATTTTTAAATATTTTATAGGAAGATTAATACAAACAATACATACTTTTATTTTTTTTAAATATTTTCATAGACTTTATTATTAGAAATAGAAAAAAACACAAAAGAAAAGAAATACCACGTGAATTTTATTTGTGAAGAGACTTGAAGGCCTTATTACAGTTATGACTTGCGAGCCCTTCCCTCCCTGAGGATCCCCTAAAGGACTCCAACATGGTACATCTGTTTTGACGAATAGTAAGAAGAAACGTAGGGAGTCGGTGCTGTTCCCTCGTCACTGATATACCTACTCCTTTCGTCCCCTAATTAAGCTCCAACTCAGCCTCAAGATCCCCTGTACGGGAAAGACACCCTTCCATCTACGTGCACAAATGGAGACAAGACACGTAGAGAGAGTCGGTACTCTTCCCTCCGCTATAAGAGGTATACCGGCCGATCACTCTTATCTCTCGCTCTCGTTCTCGCTCTGTTCCTTCTTCTTGCAAAGCCCCATCACTGCCTGTCTCTAGGGTTCATGGAAGCCGACACCCGGAGCCACTTGTCCGCCGCTTCCAAGAGCCGCCATCCGGCTTTGCAATCCCGATACGGTGGGGAACTGGGGGACTTTGGACACGTCTCCTGCTCTTTTGGCTTCGGATTCCGTTATTGGCAGTTCTGATTGGGGTTTTCTTGGGTTGGTAGATGCGTATCTCGGGTTCGAGGAGTTGGATGGAGGGGAGGACGAACCGCGACCGGAGTTCGCTTGCCCGTTCTGCTCTGAGGTCTTCGATGTCGTGGGGCTGTGCTGCCACATGGATGATGAGCATCCGGTCGAGGCTAAGAACGGGGTACTACTGCGTTCTTCCTGTCCTCGGGAGTTGTTGTGAAATTGTGCTTTTGTTGGAGTTTTCTGAGGAGAACTGTTAGACCTCCGTGTGGTTCTCGGATGGGATTTTCCTAAAGCACAGATGTTGCTTTTCCCTTTTTTTTTTCGTTTTGTTTCCATCTCTTAGAAGGTTTTCTTACTCATATCTTCTGTGAAAATTCTCATATCGCTTAATGTTAATAGAAGATTTTTTTTGGTAAAAGCGTTTTTTTTTTCTGAATTTTTTGGTCTGCTAGATTTTTATTTTAATTTGTTAAAGAAAAAGGCTTGGATCTTTGGTGCTTGTTTTACCAAGTTTTGTGTTTAAAGAATACTTTGGAGGCTATCTAGCTCTTGTCTTCTGTCACAATTTCCTTTTGCTTTATGTTACTGGAAAATTTTATTCTTAGTAGAAGCAAAAAAGAAAATTTTTTGATGCATTAAATATTTATCTTAATTGGTGAAAAAAAATGTGAAGTCTTTGTTTTTTTCCCTACGAATGTTCGGAATTTATCTCACTGTCCGTTTATATCTGCCAAAAATTTACAAAATTGGAATTTAATGTTTCTATCATGTTGTTATTCTTTGGCAGTATACCTTGAGATTTTCAGCAATCAGTAAACCTTGTTTGTAATTTGTATTTTGTGGGGACCCTGGAATTATGCACTCTAATAGTAGTTGATTAGAAGTTGTTATAGAAATTTTAAATACAGAGTCCACTGCATTTTATTTAGTAGCACGAATGTAAGTAAGTCAGCCAATGACTTTATCGGACCATGATTCTCCTGTCTATCAATATGTTCTTGTTCAGAAATGAGAAAAGTTCAGGGAATTTCGTTCAGTGAATTTCTGTAAGTGAAAGTTGGATGATTATCATTTTTTACATGATGTCTCACATGTTTATCTTACAAGTCGAAATGAAATTATTGTTCTAGTGCCTTTTAACTTTCTATTTTGATGACTGTGTTATTATAATGATAATGTTCTAACTGAGTCCTTTTTTATTTTTCTGACTTATCATGAGAAAATGGGTTTTTACTGTCACTCCATCAATACTAGCAATGGCAATCAGAGATGAGCAAATTATTGTGCCTATATGATATGTCTTTGTATCTGGATCTGTTTGCGACTTACTTTGTTGCCTACATATTGAATTTTCTTTTTTCAGGTGTGCCCTGTTTGTGCAGCTAGGGTTGGGATGGACATGGTTGGCCACATAACTACACAACATGCAAATTTTTTAAAAATATCCTGCTCATTTTTGTTAGTTGTCTGGATCTATGAAGGTTGATATTTCATATTTTTCCTTATGTCTCATGCCTCTTCAGTCTTTAAAGCTTATTTAAGAATCTTCATTAGTTTTCTTTCTTCATGAAGGATGACATTTCAATCCTTACGTTCATGCTTCTTTACTCTTTAAAGTTCACTTTTTAAGTAGAATTTTCTGGTCAAGCAATCATTAGTGTACAATTTGCATGTGATCATGTGTAAGCCTGACTAAATCAGTTCTCCTTAACAAGCACTAACATACAGCGTAGGAGGAGATACCACAAAGGATCCTGGGGGTCCCACTCTACAATTCTTTTGTTGAGAAAGGATAATACACTGGAAGGCAATATGCAATCACTTGTGGGGGGTTCTTCTTTTACTCCCTCCAGTGCTGCACCTGATCCATTGTTGTCGTCATTCATTTTTAATTTGCCAGTGATTGATCCATCAGAAGATGCCCGGCCTGAACCTTTGGATGAACGAAGTATGGATGATAAAATTTCAGAGGAGAAATTGGTTGAGAGGTATGATATATTTTGGTGGCATAAAATGAGTAATTGCATGAAATTTCAATGAAAGCCATGCTATGAATAGGTATTAGGCTCTTAAATATGTACTTTCACATTTTCAAATTACTCAATTATGAAGCCACTTCATGAATGAACAATTTCACATTCTACAATGTTTTTAAGTAGGTCATATTTTATCTTAGTTTAAGATTCATAATTTGTTGGGAATGACTCTTACAAACATGCCCTTCTGGTTTTCACTGCATAACTAACAATGATCATTTTCTACTGAGAAAATGAAGTATTTAGTTTTATTAAGATGTCCAGGGAATTTGGCATCTCTATTGACTCTTTGTTAGGGTTGAATGTGTACTTAACTAATTCTCCTATTGTTGTGTTTGCTTTTGGTTGGTTCATTTCAAGCAAAGCTAGGTAAAATATTTGATTTTCCAATGGCAGAGTCATCAATCGGAGCAATCTTGAATATTTAACCCTGATTTTGCTCTTCTTCTTCATTACAATTCAATTTCTTGAACCTTCCTAGGTTTCTGTTCATATCATGAGATCAACTAGAAGATGGTATCGACTATACGGATGCTGTCCTAGTGGTCGGTTCCCCTCTTTATGTTTAAGAGATTTAGGTTTAAAATTTGGGAAGGTGGTGCCCAAATTTCAGAAGATGCAGCAAAGGAAGTTAACACTGATAATCATGATAATTATTTGCCATTTATCTGCAACGAAATGATTATTGTTAGTCAGTTCAATAGGCTTCTACCCTGCCACTTATCTGTTATCAGATCTCCTAAACACTAGCTGAGGTATAGGATCGGTATAATAGGCTAATACTTTCTGCAGAAAGTCGAATAGGACTAGCTAGTTATTGTGAGATTTTTCAGAGAAATTACAGAGATTTGTTACTGCTTGAAAGTTGTGTGGCAAACAATAATTGACAGAGAGGAGTTGGCTGTTTATAGATTTTTATGCTGGTAACACAATGTTGTGGGTTACTGGCTAGGTAAACTTGCTGAGAAAAACCAAAAACCAACATGAGATACTTATAGTCCCATGGACATCTGGAAAAAGTTCAAGCCATGTTAACTGCATGTGCTTAAACAAACAATGCAGGATAGGTGATTCTAACTTTCATGTGTTGTATTCTGAAATCACCAATATCCTTGTTTGATGCTGTTGGAAGATATGAGGATATGCTTATTCTAACTCTACTAAGCATGCTTCCCAGTGTTGTGCCATGTCCACTACACCAAGATCGGGAGGAGAGTGCTCGGAGGAGCGAGTTTGCGAGCCAGATTGTGATCTCTACAATATTCGACGACACATTATGAACTCCTCCAGCTCTCATGGTGGCATCAGCAGCAGCTCACGAGACAATCTGGACATGGTTAGAGGTTGCTGCAATGGTGATACCGGACCTGAACCAGGTATTCTTCTGGGAGGATCCCAGGAATGAGATGAAACATGGAATGCATTAAATACCACTATCCTATCTATGCTGTATATAATTCTATGGGTTAACTCTGTATTCGAAATAAATCAGCTGCTTGCTCTCTTGTTGTACCCGTGTGATTAGATTTGCGGCAGCTAGATTTAGTCCCACATCGAGGAAGTACGAGGAGGCCAGCGACCACGGAGCGTACAAGAGGAGAGTGAGGCCGCTTAAGTTCCATACTTACCTGGACGGGGTCGATGGGCGAACAAGTAGGCCCATGGCCTGGGTCTGTAACCTCCATTGCACTTTGGAGGGGTGCTGGCCCACCATCTCCCCAAGTGGGAGAGTGGACGTCATAATTTGTGGTAGATGGGGGTACGCGTCCGCGCGGCCCCTGCCAAGTCATTATCAAAATCCTCATGTGGGCCATTTGGGGTCCATTTTTGCTCCGTTCTATAGAATCTTTTTGTTCGAGCAATCAAGAGTACACGCATCTTAAAGCTCTTAACCCTCCTCCGCTTGATTTCTCTTCTAATACCCTTCGCCTTTTAAAAATTGAAAGTTTTAAGAAGGCATCACGAGGCGATTTTGGAATTTCTGGTTCCTCGTTCTACCGGAGATATAATGCTCATTTTGGTAGGAATAAAGCGCTCATACAGAACTTAATTATTTTGGAGAAGCAATCGTCATTGTTAGTCTTTAGAGAGGTTTATTTTATTGATCCTTCTTCCTCTGGCAACCCTTGATGTTACTGTCTGAGCAATGAAGTTAATTTATTGTACTTCATTGTAATACAAGGATGGATACCAACTGAAATAACTTACCGCTACAAGTATGCATATAATGTAATCGTAGCAAATGAATCGCATATTTATATGCGCGAGGCAACAGATTGGAAACCTGTTCATGAATTTGCACGGTTCATCATCTGCAATGCGTTTTGAGTAACAATGGCGAGCAAAGGCAACGGCGACAGTCAGGGAACGATGAACGAGGAGTTCGAGTTGAAGTAGTTCTAACTGGAAAGAGGACGCTGAGCGCTGAGCGTAGGGGTTTGGAAGCGCTGGAAATGCTTGTAGATGTTTATAGTTCTAACTGGAAAGTTCCAATTTTGTTGGCCATTAACTCGCATTTGCTTGATTTCAGAGAGCATCGTGAACTCGAAAGACAGTTCACTTCCCTGAGCCTCTAAGAACGATGAGGTGCCCTTCGAACGACCGCGCCGCTTGCGAAGAGCAATCTCGAACTTCCCCTTCGTTGTTGCAGCGGATGGCGAGCCTTACGGAGTGCAGACGAAGTTCCTGGAGTCGTAAGGACGGTCAGTCCATGTCTTGTACTTCGATCCTCTATGAATCTTGCTGTCTCGATGTGCTAATGACACGATGGAGTTTGTTCCTCCTCTGTAGCAGAAAAAGCACCGATCTTTATACCTCGGAGATAGGGAGGCAGCGAGGAGTTGTCACATGGAACGCAGTTCCATGAGCTCGCTGAACTGTGCGAAGTCCACCCATTCTTCCTCCTGTATTCTCAAATATAACCCCCCGCTCCCCTCTCAGCCACGTTGTTGATTCCGTTGCGAGTCTCTCTCGGCGACCGCTTCAACCGCAGCATTTACCGGTCGAAGCCTTTCCTCCAAAGCCAAAGGTACGCCTCCTCTCCCGCTCCCTCTTCTTTTCTTCACACAGAAAAGGGAAAGGGAGAGAGAAGGAGAGAAGGGAACGCAAAGGTGATCTCTTTGTGGATCTCCCCTCCTTCCAGGGCTAGGGCTTTTTTCCTTCGTTCCCCTTCATCCTCGATGGGTGTCTTTCAACCCTGGGGCTTCCGCTTGGAGCTTTCGGATGAGTACTAGTTGAAACGCGCGTGGAGTCCGGCTAGCGCTCATCGAGGGAGTGGGAGTTGGAAGGAAGGCGGCTTTTTGAAGGGGGAATAGGCCGGCGGAGGAGATGAGTGCCTCCAGGTTTATCAAGTGCGTCACGGTGGGCGACGGCGCCGTCGGCAAGACCTGCATGCTCATATCGTACACCAGCAACACTTTCCCCACGGTATGCTCTGAAACATCCGCATCTCTTGTTATGTTTCTGGTGCTTCATTATCGCTCTCATCTCGAGACAAAGGAATTGAGAATGTACTTTTGCGGGTTGTTTGATGCAGTGCATTTCAGGAAAAGGTTCCTTCTTTTTTCCCCCCTTTACATTGTCTTTTGAATTGCATTTGTTTATTTTAAGGATCTTCTAGTTGATTTGTTCAATCCAAGAAAAGTGTCCAAGGAATAATCATGATTTGTGAGATTCAAGAAAAGTGGCCAATAATTAATCTTTAACTTCTCTTTTCTTGATTCGAATTCCCGTTTCAACTAATTTTGCCCTATATCCCTCATATCTTTATTTCATGATTAATGACTTATCTATGCTATTGCTTTTAGTAAATGCTTTTATCTGGCTTTCTCTTCAACAAAAAGAAGTAATAAAAGAAAATTTTTTTATCTATTTTTCCTTTTTCTGGCAATGGTTCCATAAAAATAGGTATGTGGATTTAATGTTCTCTGCAGCATAATCTGCCAATGCTGCTACATTGGAAATAATGTCCAGACAGGTTAAATTTTAGATATGTATGCTATTAGATTGACTTTCACCAAATGTAGAATCTAAGACAATGCTTTGTACCAAGCCTCAGCATCAATTTTGACCTGTAGAATGATGAATCATGTACCATAAAGGCATCAGCATCAATTTCATCACTACTTCCAGACATGAACTTAGTTCCTTTTGTTGGATCTGGAATTGAACAATCCATATCCTGACAAACATTTATCTTTTAATGCATCATCTGGTCCTGTGAGTTTCACTTCTAATAATTTTCATCCAAGGGAACATATTTCCTTTTGAAACTGTTTCCTTTGATACAATTTAGACAACCAAATGTCCTCAAGGCCTTTTTTGTACATCTTAAATATATATTTTACTTTTATGGTGACAGGATTATGTCCCTACGGTGTTTGACAATTTCAGTGCAAATGTAGTGGTTGATGGTAACACGGTTAATATAGGTTTGTGGGATACTGCAGGTACTTTTACATTCTCTTTTAGTTGATTATTCATCTTGTTTATTTCTTTTTCTTGGTCCCACTAGCCCTTGTTTTATATTGTAATATTCTTGTTATGATGGTTGCTCTGATGGAACAGGCCAAGAAGATTACAACAGACTAAGACCGTTGAGCTATCGAGGTGCAGATGTTTTTCTGTTAGCCTTCTCTCTCATAAGTAAAGCCAGCTATGAAAATGTGGCCAAGAAGGCAATATACTGAAACTGATCCCTCTTTTTCTTCCTCTTATGTTCCTTCGTTGTTAATCTTACATTTTGTGTTGAATCACTAATGCTTTACTTCTTATCTGGCTTGCCCCTTTTTTACTTTTTCAGTGGATTCCTGAACTGAATCACTATGCACCTGGAGTGCCCATAATTCTTGTCGGAACAAAACTTGGTAATCGTTATGATCTGATTGTTCTGGTCACACATATGGTTCTTCCTATACTCATCTGAACCCCAAATTATATCAGCATTTATGCTACATTGTTTTGTTGTTCTTGTTTTAAGTGGTTAACATATTTACAGATAATGTTGTTGACAATTTTATTTGTCATTATTGTTTGTTTCACTACATTAAAGCAAACATAGCCCTTGTGAGTGTGTGTGTGTGTGTGTATATATGTATGTATACATATATATATGTATGTATACATATATATATGTATGTATATACATATATATGTATACATATACATATATATATGTATACATATATACATATATGTTGGTGGGATGGCTCTGGGTCTTGTTGAGTTGTCAAGTTAAGGAAAGCTTTGCTTTATTTTTCAGGTTAGAAAATGGGTGTTTAATTCTTGGCTATCAAGGATATATATGCTCAATCTGGCCTCCGTATAGGTCAAGTTTCCTTGACCTGTACCTGACTCATGAATCTAAATAGTTGTTTTCTTAGATGGTTTCATCAAGATTTATACTGCCGTGGTCCTGAGTACTCAGTGATTACAATGCTTCAACCATGTATATGAAGATTTTGGTGACATGAAATCATGTTGTCCATTGAGCTATTATGTTATTCGGCAAGATTTCAATCCATTATTACCATTTGTCCTTGACAAGCGTCAGTGTTAGATGGCCAATAATTTATCTGGCAGTTCCACTTTGGGGGCAACTTCTATAATGTGTTTTTGAAAAAAAAAAAGGCCTCATAAACAAGACCAAGTTGGTACTAAGCAGAAAGGAATTTGTTCCCATGAAATAAAACCACTGGAGTTAGTCGAGATCATGAGAATACAAGAGAGATTAATGGATGAGTTCTTGGTCAAAAATCTTGGTCGCATTTACTTTTGTAACAATTTGGGAAGCAGTTGAGCTATATGGTTAGAGGTAAAGCTCATGGTGATGATGCACATCAGTAGGTAAAGAGATGACATTATGCTGGTGTTTTCAGTTTAAAAATGATTTTTTTATGAACAATTTAATTATAGGTCTTGAAGAGGTATAATCATATTGTGATGCTCTGTGACATAATTTACTTGGAGATGAGTAATTGAAAAAATCAATATTTCATCTTACTGAATCAGGAAAACCACAATGCTAGGTCCGAGGGTGTTCGAAACAAGATGTAGGTAATTGTTTGTAATGTATTTTGATTGATGGTTGAGTTATAAAATCAGAACTTTACGGTCTTCTTACCACTTGACTTAGAAAGCTGTTATTCTTCTCCTGTGAGATTATTTTGGAGAGTTTTGCTTGTGAGTCGGTCATGCAACTCTTATTAATTTGTAAACACTTTGTAATGTAACTTGATGCATGTATCCTGGCTTTTGGTTTTGCATTTAAATCTAGTTGTGCATGGATTTGATGGCAGATCTCCGGGATGATAAGCAGTTTTTCATGGATCACCCTGGTGCCGTATCTGTAAGTGCTGCTCAGGTAAAGCTGCAAAGTCTCTGTCTTTTACTCTTCCTTTTTCTCTTTTTAATGTATCATTTGGTGCAAGGACATAGCAGAGTTGCTTAAGATAATTCTTGCATCATCTAGGGGGAAGAATTGAGGAAGCTAATCGGTGCTCCTTCCTACATCGAGTGCAGTTCAAAGACACAGCAAGTATGTTCTTTTTACTAAGCTAGCTTTTGATCTCATAATATCATGCTGATACATTACCACCTTCATGAAATCTGCAGAATATAAAGGCAGTATTTGATGCGGCCATTAAAGTGGTACTCCAACCACCCAAAAAGAAAGGTAGGAAGGCGCAGAAGGGTTGCTCCATCTTGTGATTACTATGCACATGAAAGAATTCTGTGCTATCAACTCGCAATTGTAGCAAGTCATGGACGCATCAGGTCTCTGTTTCCCTTCCTCCTTTCTCGTCTTGTGATTTGTATCGACTTATCGAGCGTGCACATCAATGTTGCATTGATCTTCTGAGTCTGTTTTGAGTTGCAGACATGGTTTTTGTATCTCAATTTGATCACTTGAAAAAGCTTGTTGACGAAGTGCATTTTGCTGGTAATTCATGTTTTGAAACAGCGTGATGGCTTCTTGATTGCATTGTCTTAGTCCTGCATAATTTGTTTGTTTGTTGCTGCCATTGGAGCAATTCTTAGGTCCTTTACAACATGCCATGTGCTAATGTTTCTCATAGCTCAATCTTTGTGATCTTTCTTCTGGGATTACTTAGCGCTAATGCAGCTATAAAAATTTCCTGATAATTTTGTCCATCCCTTCTTCAATCAGAGGGGTAAGCTTTGGTGCAATGATAAGATTATTCTTTTATGATTTGGATTAGTATAGTCAATTTTGATCATTGCCCAATTTTTTCGTAGGTAGTGTCGTCCGAGTTTATTGAGATCGAGGAAGCCTACTAGTAGTGTCGTTGGAGTTTTATCGAACACACCCAACTAGTGGTAGGGTGTGTTCGATAAAACTCCTTCGATACGGGATTGATTCAGAAAAAAAATTTTCATTTCGAGAAAAGATATTCCAACTTACCATGAGAATATTTTATGCTAGATTCTATTTTGATTTGAGATCTTGATGATTCGAAGTCCACATGTCCTTGTATGATTGATTTAAAATATTTGATGATGATGATGATGATGTATGTTGTCTATCAAGAATGATATAAATTTCTATCATATTTAATTATTAGATATTACTCACCAGAAATATGAGGCTAAGGATTGAGGATCTTACGTCATAACTAAGAAACCGAGTAGGAGAAATAACCCGACACCCAATGTCGTCATCCTATCGTTCATATGGACACACGATGTTGCCAAATGGCATCATTCATTTGACCCAAAGTGAGTCACAAACAATATGACTGGTAGCTTAATGTGTCATCCAAGTAGCATCAAGTGACGCTGACATGCATCATCACTAGAAGTTGCATTCATCATCTCCATACGCTATGTTGACATCCACACGAAATGTGCATGTCATATACGCATCATCACATGGAAGCCACACAAAAGGAGGATTTGATGTCCATATAATAATGAATTTTAAGTTAATATGCTTCACTTTAAATTATTATTTGCAATTAATAAAAAGATTAAGATATGGATATTTGTTGACCATGAAACCAGTCAAAGGTGGGCCCAGGATCTCGAAATCTCTCCATCCGACGATCTAGATTGATCTTGGCGCACCATTGGACGGCTCAGATGGTTCGAATCTGTCGTTAAAGACCACGATGTCTGTCTCTCGGCATCGTTATGCTCTGAGTTCTCCATCCAATCCGCCTCCTTCGCTTCCCTTCCGCGCTCTCGCTCTCGCTCTCCCTCCCTCGTTCTTCCATGTGATTCCGCCGATAGGTTTCCCTTTTCCGACGATCTCTATCGCCATTATCTTATCTTGGTTTCTAACCTTCTGATGGTGTCTTTGGTACGATAGAGCCTTGGGGGGAGGGGGGGCTTTTTCGGCGAGAAGCCTCTTGATTGGAATCCTCTCGCGGTTTTACTGTCTATGGAAATTGAATCGTCTCATCGACGGCGTGAGCAAAATCCCGACTTGTGAGGTACTCCGCTCGTTCTTAAAGATTGCTCGAGTTTGAGTCGTGCTCCAGGTCTGGAATTTTTCGTGATCGGTTTAGCCATTTCTCATCTTTCACCGGATTGGAACCCTAAATTCGTGAGCTCTGCTAGAATTTTGTCTGATCTTGGTCGTTCTTAAAGATTGCTTCTGTGCCTCATCTGAGTCGTGAGTCGTGCTCGAGGTCTAGAATACTTGGTGATTGATTTGGCCATTTGTCATCTCTCATCGGATTGCACCCCTAAATTCGACAACTTTGCTGAAGTTTGTCATCATCTTTTGTTGGAATCTTCATCAATCGTGTCCAGAATCTGATATTTCTTGGTGCCACGACAGCTTGTAAGCCTCCCACACCCCATCTCAGGCTCTGTCTGCTTCCTTCACCTGTGATTATGGACGATGGGGAGCCCGATTTGTCTAATCCTGAGGTCTTCTCTACCCCGGGCGCTGGTGAGGATCTTCCTAGCAGCTGCTCAATGGATAGCTTCTTCGACAAAATATTAAATGACGGGCATACGTGCACCCATACTCACACCTGCAACCCTCCCGGGCCCAACCTCTCGCACACGCATACCTGTTTCCATGTCCACACCAAAATTCTCTCGTCTCCCCCAGATGAGACTGCTGAGTCGGTGGAGAAGAGCGATTCTTCGAAGAAAAGGCCTTGTAATAATCGAGAAGCCGTTCGGAAGTATAGGGAGAAGAAGAAGGCCCATGCAGCATCCCTGGAGGAGGAGGCAGCTCACCTGAGAGCAATCAACCAACAACTGTTTAAAAGACTTCAGAACCAAGCTGCCCTTGAAGCTGAGATTGCAAGGCTTAAATGCTTGCTTGTGGATCTGAGGGGGAGGATTGAGGGAGAGATTGGGCCTTTTCCTTATCACAAGCCAGTGAAAGGGAGTGGAGATTTTGTTTCTAACGTGACACAGGGGAACATGCTGGCTGGTGCTCAGGTTCTAAATCCATGTAATTTCCATTGTGATGATCAGGTTAACTGGTTCTATCCAGGGATGCACGGAAAGGATGTGGGAGAAACTGGTGTATTTGATGATCAGGGTCTTGGAGTCTGTGAGATTGGGAACATGCAGTGCATGGGGAGTTCAACTTCTGGATCTCAGGACTTTGCGAGCTGCAAAAGCAAGACTGCAAAACCTGTTGACTGCTCATCTAATGCCACAAGATTAGAAGGTTTGATTTTTGTTTTTGGGTTAAATATATGTTCTACAAAATTTCATTTGTTCATCTGCTCTTCAGTTGTTTTTCTCTTATTTTTTGTGAGCAAGAACTGAAATTTAGTTGCCATATCTTTTGCTTAGTTTAGCATTCAAATTGTAATTCATGAAGCTAATTATACTTGTTTCTGTAGGAAGATCCAGTTGTAAAATATATCATATCAATTTCGTGGTTCATTGTTAACAATCATGAATTTGTCAATTGGATCACTGTATGTATGGGCTTTATAATGTAGCCCTTCATTTCTAGGTTGGTCAGGTTTGGTTTGGCTTGCCAGATTCATGTTGGACCTTGTCATTTTGGTGCTTTTGGTTATATCCTGGAAATCATTTTGCTAGATGTTACTTCTGTTACATGAGTTGGCAGTATACTATTTATGGTTATTATAGTTTTAAGAAGTTACTTATTGCAATAATAAGCACAAAACTTAATGTGATGTATCAGTTTTGGACTCTAATTTAAATCTGGATGGTGCTATTTCTAGAATTGTTTGGAATTAATTTTCTTGAAATTTCATTGATCTCTGGAGTTTTGAGTCCATTCTTTATATTGAAGAAGCATTATATGCTGCTGCAGCCAAAATGATATAAATCAAATAATTCTAGTTATTTTGTGGCTAGTCTTAAAAAAACAATTTGTAAAGAGTAATCTGATTACCAAATCTTTAGAATTGGACTGATTCTACTTTATATGCTCATGATGATCAAACTTGACATGAGCTCTCTTTCCATTCAATTTTATAGCTATAGATTAAGCAGAGATCTAGTTATTTCACTTGTTCTATCATAAAAAATCAAAGAATGGATGGAGGTATATGGGAGGACTACTAATTCAAATATCAAATAAGATATCGTTATAGCTAATGGTGTCTAAGTCTTAACAAAGGTGTACTGTGAAAAAGATTCCATGTTTCTGACCCAAAATAGTTGGGATTTGGCAACAACTGTCATTTTTGTGTTTCTGGTTTTCATTACCAATTTTCATATCTCTAGAACCATATATTTTCATTTAAAGTTGGAAACACATTGACCTTACGATGGCTATCTGAGTTTGATGTCACACCACAAATTTCTTATATTTATTCTTAGCTAAACTTAATTTGCAATATTCAGTAATATCTAAATATCTCACCAACTTTTGTTTATGGGTGTGAGGTGCACAAAATTCATGTTGAATTATTGTTCATTTCAAGCTATAGAAGATATTGTTTCACTTACAGAAAGTTATAGTCTTTTTACTCTGCTGTACTTGTCCATCTTCTACCCTCCCCACCCCTTCTCAAGATTTTTGTTTGGTGATTTGTTTTCTTCCTTTGATTATATATGCATCATCTTATTAGTCCTTGTTTTGGTTTGTTTAGGAGCTCGCGCACCCGAGGACTCTTGATCTGTGTTTCAAAGTCATGATCATAGAGGCAATGCTTCATTTGATATCCAATGGTTGCTCAAGTCATGAAGAACAGTGGTTCCAAGAAAACCTTTTGGTCTTGCTTCTAAATGGTACCTGTATACTATGAAATTGACTCAAATAGAAGTTATCTTTGTTGATCCTGAAACTTGCTTGCTTTGTTAGTCAATTCATTTTACGGTGAATTTTATTGCTTGAATTGTTTTTAGGCTAATATACAATGCATATTCAAGCAAATGAAACCATTTAGTTGCTGAGACATGCATATTGAATATCACTGCACCTGCTTCATAAACTTCTATCCTCTGCAGTAAAGACCATCAGGCATACCATTTTCTAATGATTGTAATCTCTTCTTAAACTTTTGATTCTTCTACTGATAACCTGATAGAGTGAGTTATAGCTGCAATGTGGACAGTGCAGGATGTGCCATATCTGTACACAGCAATATATTCCCTAGAAAAGCTCAATCTGATGTCAAGTTATGCACACGACAACAATTGTTGACTCCACAAATGCTCAAGAACACAAAACATGCACTGTTAATCACACTTTTAACTTCACAGATTTATAGTGTAAGTGTAGCAAGCACCAAAGTTTTACAATACAATCACCACTAACCTTATATTTGGAGGAAGGAGTACATCTACATACTTTACATCAGCCATAGACATTCTCAATTTGATAGGTCCAACACTAGACAACTGTTGCATAGGGCAAACATCCATAAACTTCAAGCTACTTGTGTCCCCTTGCTACCTTTGCTACAGAGAGCAATTAGATACATAGATTACATAAATCATCTCCAAGTTGGCCTAGGCTTCCATGTACTGTGAAGCTGGTGGGCTTGTCTTTGTCTTCCAAGGTTCTGCAAAATGTGGCATAAGGCATCAACTTTAGCTAGTCCAGAATAGTATCCATGTCGATCCAACTTTCAATTTATGATCCTCTTAGTTGATGATCTGAATCCAACCAGTATCAGCATGATATGTCAATAAAAACATTGGATGAATCAGTAAAGCAACAAGTCAAACATCATATTTAATTTTTTTTTAAAACGAAATATAATTATATGATATGAAAATTATAAACTATAAGGACACTCTTATAAAATATATATATATATAATATAATAAAACAGAGTGATAAGGGTGCAACAGACATGATTGAGAGGATGAAGTAACAAAAGAATGTGTTAAAATTTTATTCTCTTTCATTAAAAGGACTTAAATACCCTTAAAATTTTTAAACATCTTTGATGATAAATAAAGAACTGGGAGTATTGAAGAAGACTTGGATAAATATATAAAGATATTATTGAAGAAAAAAACTTAGCATCAAAGGGAAAGAGTGGAGCTGATTTGAGATGATTCAGTTTTGGAAATCTTATCCTTGGAGACAAACTAATACCAAAAGCAACATCTATATAGCAGATTAAAAGGTGAAAGGATACATCAAGGTGTAACAACAATGGAATACCTTTAACACCACGAATCTCCACTTCTCGCCATTCTTGAACAAGGGCACAGCAACAGCACAATAGATGCGACAAGAAGTCATCGCAAAGCCCCCCCTAGTAGACAAAAAAACAATCTATCAGCAAACTCCAAAAGGAAAGCTTGGGATGAACAGACTTCCCTGACAGTTCTGCTATGAACAGAGATCACCTAATTATAAAAACTGATTAGTATAATAAATACATCATTTACTCGAGTAAAGTTATGTAGCACTATGAAGTTTGCTACTGTCTCGTGCTGTAATAGTGACAGCACTAATCATGTCAATTGCATTGAAGGTATCCCAATACCTTAGTCAAATATACACGTCGTGCACTTTTCATCTAGCTTCTATTGGTGCAATGAGTTATTTCTGGAAGGTCTGCATCATTTAACCCATTTATATGAATTTTTTTACTCTTAAAACAAGTGTCGCTTCCTGCATACCTATTATTAAAAATGATGAATTCATACAAATACTACTAAGCTCGTAACTAAAAACCATATAAATAACTTATATTATGTGTAAAACAATTCTTTACTAAAATTTAAAGACAATTTTTATAGTTGCAACAAGATTATGTGAAAATTGATCCACCAATGAAATATGAAACTATCCTAGGTCACTAAATATGGAAACAAAACCCTTGAGAACTCAACCACGATAATAAATTGATCATAAGAAGGCTGTTTGTGTAACTATGAGATCTTTTGTGGTTAGAAAGAAGATGTGTCTAATTAAAATTTATTACTTCTCTTCCTTTTTGACCATTTACAGCTTGACATATGAAAGTATTTGATTGTTTTTAGTTACCTTTTTTTGGATATTTACCCATGTCATGACAATAAACAATAAAATAAATTGTTAGAACACTTGCTTGCTCGAGTTAAGCTACAAGAAACTACAAAAAGAAGTAACTAATAGTGAAACTCACAAAGAAGAAGCCTAGTCAAGATAGACCTCAAAACAAGTATAAAGTCCCTTTTATGATATTTATGTACATCCAAAGGTAATAATGCATAGAAAAGAGAATATGTGAAATACTTGGTCTTGGAAGTTCAAGAATTATTAAAAGTCACCAAATTAACTATAAGTACAAGGCAGACATAAGAACGACCAAGTTACCGTAATGTCAAACATTTTCCGTAGCTTCCTTCTGATGCAGCAGGTGTAACAACAGCATGACAGTATTAATGAATATGCCATCAAGTCATTACATGCTTCCGCTGAAGCTGTAGGAAGAGAAACAAAGCATCTTTACTTGATTGTGATCTATTTCTTAAAAAGCTTGTACCAAATTATGTGCAGAAACATGCAGTTAGAATTTCTTAGCTAATACACCATAATTTATGAGAACCTCTTTGGAAATCGTAATCATCATATCATAGATCACGAAGGAAAGGATTAGAAAAAAAAAGTAACTGTGGAATAAAATCACGTACTGACTGGTCTGTTTTTTGCTACAGTAGCAATCTGTGAAAATGTTCCACAAGGATAAAAGAAAGTTTTCATACCTGCAAAACATGAATAAACCAATGTAAGATTCAAATGATACATCGGGAAGAAATAGAAGCAATTGATTATATTAGCAAAATGTAAGTCATTGGATCTTGTAAATTTGACTGAAGAGTACACCATAATTATGAAACAACATTATTCATGATTAAAATAATAAATAACATATAAAGTAGGTGGTTGTAAATTTCAAAATAAAAGATAGAATAATGGATAATAGGAAACTTCAGTTTGTAGAAAAAGTTGACTTCCTATACAAAGCATTGATATTGTCCATCTCCACATTAGGCACTCCATGTTCCAAGCATCCGGCACATAATATCATATTAGAGGTAAGTGATCCAAAAATAATTGTTTCCATCAAGGGTGGTGATGGGAACCACATCAAGAACTAAATTTTTCCGAGACAGAGAAAGACTCCACTTTCGGTACATCTTCTTTTAATCCTTCTCTTTTACTCTTGCCTATTTATTGAGTATTGGAAAGACAAACCAAGATATTGATGCAATATTGTCATATTTTGTGTGTTAACCACCCCAAAACTTTTGTCTTGACTGCTTAGATCAGCTGCATCTTCTTCTTTTACCTCTTTGCAATGTTATATAAATTGGTAAACCCATTATGTGGATTGATCACGTGATATAAGTCCATCTTATCGCTGTTAACAGTAATTATTCAGTTTTCAAGTGAACAAGGCACATTTAAAATTTGTTGCTCCCGGATACTCTGCTCAAACATAAAACTGTACTCTATGAATAGACTCTTACTATGATGTGCAAAACAGATAACTATATCAAAAAAGGAGAGGCTATGCAGAAAGAATGAACACATGGATGTGGATGATATATAAAGCAACATTAAGAATCAATTTACTAAAAAGATAGTCAGAACATGACAAAATTAAAAAATTTACCCTATAAAAGATAAAGATACTACTAACATTCTTTTCTGATGAGCTTTGTTATATACTTGCATTCAATATTCATCTCAACAGTATATCATACAACACTTCAAGGAAATAGCAACCAAACCGAAACATGAGTAGAAAGCTCATTATATCTTGCAATCTGAACTAAACAGTATTTGGTTCATAAGATTTCCCTAAGAAACACAGAGAGCAACAACCATAGAAACCGAGTCAAACTCCACCAATATTCATTTGAAGATATAAATGTGCTTAGTAAACTATAGTAAATAAGATAAAATTCTACATACACATTATTTATAAAAAACACAATAATAATAAAAGTGAAGCTATTCATAAAGATTGACATACATAACGAAGGCTCTGAACAACATCCAAGTAAATCCGAATGCCATTCCTCATGTCCGTGATGTTCTCTATGCAAACTCATATCATGACCCAATGAATCTGATGATGTGGTTCTGCACAATGTTCAGAGTCAGTATAGATTCTGAATTTCACATATACTGTGTGAAAAATCATAAATTATAAAGTTATATTTGCAGTAGTCACATTAAAAATGTCTAACAAGTACCGTAATGTTTTCGTGTCCTATATTTGTTCCAGTAGGATCAGTTAATTATGAGAAGGACATAGCTCTTCTTTGTTGCTAATATATTTATCGTCAGGATACCATAACGTTTTAAATATAAAGGCCATCAGAAGATGGAAACTTCCAAGTTTCAGACAAACATTTCATATGCATTACAAAGTTTTCAGTCTTAGTAGATATTTAAGAGCATGAAAGATTTGGAATTATAATTCATAGGGATATGATGCAAAACCAGGATTTGATCCTCAGGATCTTGCCACAAACAGTTAAGATCTTCAGCAGCTAAGCGCAAGGAATGCATGAAAGTATATATGATTTATAGGCATGAGGGGAGAGGAAAAAAGCATTAAAACATGGTTTCTTGACTTTGCATAAATCAGACTGTTGAGAAATAACTTATTCGAATTGGCACGTCAGGGATTAATTATGGCAAATGCAACACCAAGAGTTAGGAACTGAAGAACTGAAACTTAGTGGGAGCCTAGTGCACAAGGCCCCCACTAAGCTGGTATTCGGGAAGGGTCAATGCATGCAATCTTACCCTTTCATATAAAGAAGTTTTTAAATATTTGAAGAACTTAAACTAGAGTTGTGAAAGATTAAGTTGATCACTGAGAACAAAATGGCCAAAGAAGTGTTTTCCCTTCAAATGTTCCAAATGAGGATTCACGATTCCAAATCAGCTTTGATGAGGATGTTAAGCCCTATGTGAAAAACATAATAATGCCCCGATTTAGTCCCACAATGAGTGCAGAGGAAAATTGAATCGGTTTATAGGACTAGATGAGATTCATTCATACTATTAACTTGAGTTCAAATATTTTGGGCCAATTGTTCAAGTCTATCAGGTTAATATATCAGTTATTCCTTCGAATAAGACTGTGATGACTCTAGACTAGGTTTTTTCTCCAGTGATTAGCTAGAGGAAAAGGATGTCAAGTAAGTTTGACAATGATGATGTGCTCTATAATTTTTGACAAAGAGCGGATTGGTCCCTTCAAATGACTCACCAGCTTCCGCAGAAAGATGTGAAGGAATAGCTTGAAAACAATGGAAGGAATCAGGGGACATGATTGTTAGAATGGGAGTAGAGAAGAAAAACCATACTGCAACATGACGACTTTTGGACAACTTAACTAGGAACTAGCAACAAATGAGTGAACTAGCAACATGACTGCTTTCGGACAACAGAAGGAACCAACAATATGGAGAACTAGACAAGCAGATCAGACAAGCATACAAAGTAGACTAAGATGGAAAATTCAATCCTTAAATTTAGCACTGTGAACAATAGTCATATTGATACGGAAAGGCAAAAAGGTTTAGCAATAGGTACCATCATAAAATTAGATAAACAGACAATACAGATAAGCAGGAAGATTACAATTTAAAGGTAAGACAAGAATTAGCAAACATTAGAATTTCTATCAACATATGAAGAAATGAAGACCAACCTAAAAGTTGCTTTTGTATCTTGTTCATGACTGTTCTTGCCAAAGGTTTTCTCCTTGTAATTGTTCTCATCAGAATAGTTCAGCTCTACTTTGTTTGGACTTTTGAGCTGTGTGCTTCTTTCTTCTATAGTGCTAGCCACATTTTGTGTCACTCCAATTAAATGCTGGATCATTTCACATTGACCAATATCGTATGACCTCTGGAGTTCCATTTGGAGTTTTTCTCTTTCTTTCTTAAGGGCTTCATCAAATGGCACATTTGGATAAGAACAAGATAGAGAGTTCTTGAGCACTGTGGCATGATTTGTAGATGCATCACGATCCAAAATGGCATCTTGCACCTTTCTGTCTTCTTCATCCAGAGTATATTCGCGTTCATCTCTTTCAATGGAGTCTATTCTCTCCTAATGTACAGACAAATAAATATTTGAATGAGAAACAAAAATGATACAACATAATTAAATCCAACCACTACATGATGAGGCTTCAATGATATTGCCATGTTAAAATTTTGGACTTTCGTGCACAAAACACACAACATTTCACCCAAATTCCCAAAATATACTTTTAGCAAGTCAACATCTAACAACACCTCTGCAATCTTATTCAAAGTAACACCCTGAACATTCTTCATTTAAAACTTCAAAGCAGGTTGGGAAAATAAATCAAACTTGATTTTTCAACTAAAATGCAGCTAACCGTGAGGAAATTAATACCCATTAACTAGACATTCTAAACCTTTCGATTCTGACAAATCACTAGATTTATTTCTATATATCTATGTATTTCTCTCATTTTCTCAAATCTCTCCCATCTTTAAACCACATTAGTCTAACTCAGCTTTTTAGAGCACAATCATGTTGGACCATGACAGTGACATGTTTCCAACTCAGCTTCCTAAATCTCCATCAAGAAAATTATGGAAGAAATCAAAAAGCCAGTCAACCGAAGAGTAGATCATGCAAGTATCATCATTTCTACAAAACTAAACTTAAAGCACTTAGCTAAGCTACTATTGTGAAGTCTCAGAACTGATACCACAAGTACTTAACTAGGAGTTGTGATAATATGCAGCCAAATCCAAATGCGTAACAACAGCCACAATTATCATTAGACTCTTAATTCAGTAGAGATGTTAAGAAGATTAAAATTTAAGACTTCAAAACCACTGTATTTGATACTTCTGAGACAGCCATGAACAGTTTGATCTCCCAAACAAATTACTACAATAATGGTGGGATCATTTTTTTTTGCTGATGGCAATCATCCCGGATAATTTCTCTTTGGACATGTCAAAGTATGATACCAAATCAAATATCCAAATAGAGAACATGATATCAAATCAAGTAGAGGTAAACAAATAGAATTAATCGAGGACACAACAACAACAACAACAACAACAACACCATAAGTCCTTAGTATTTGGGGTCGGCTACGTAGATCTTTTGCCGTCGTTGAGATATTTAAAAGTCATATCGATAATTGAAATATGCACTGCAATCTACAAGCTCAAGAAAACCTTTTTCTTTTGAATCAACAAACAGGACAATCCATCAGCAAAATTGTAAAGGCTTCTGAACTATAAAGATTCAAGAAAACCAGAAGCCTTACCCTGACCCGAGCATTATCCACGAGAGTGATGAGCGGCACGATTCGAAGATATCGATCGATCTCATTCTGAGCCCTTCTGAACTGGTAGACGATGTTCCACCCCATTGCCAGAAGGTACAAGTAGCTCCTGTTCTGGCAGCTGTCCACGAGAATGTAGGACCTCCGGAGGGCATCCTCGAGCTGCTCGAGAGGCTCCCGGGTCTCGGGGTACTTCTTGAGCTCCGAGATCTTGAGCTGCTCCAGGAGATTGCCGATCAGCTTCAGGTGCTGCGCGAACTGCCGACAGTTCTTCCTGTGCATCCGCGCGGTGGTCGCCGCCTGCACGATCAGCCCGATAAGGCGGACGGCGTCGACGCCCGTCAGTTGGGCCACCGTCGCGAGCTCTCCCAACTGCTCCCAGCTCGCCATTGTGGCACCGACTCGTAAGGAAGGACAACAACCTAAATGCCGGACGAAATGGGCACTGAAGGAGAGGAAGGGAAAGCTAAGCGACGCAGCCGCACATGGCGACAGCCGAGGACGCCACCCGTCTGCCAACAGAATGCCAAAAGCTTCCGCAGAGAGGAGGCGTCACTCGAGAGTTTGTGCTACAGAAGACGACGACAACAACTGCACTAAAATCTCTGCCAAATTTCTCCTTTTTCCGTCAGATGTTTCCCGTCCAGGGAAGGACTTACCCCAAAAGGAGATATCTTTAACCTCTTCTTTCAAGAAACCACGATTAAGTTAACCAAGAAGAAAACTTTCCAGAGTTCCCCGGATCTATCTTCGAATCGTGAAAGGAAATTTTGCAGAAGACCCACGAATTCGAAGAAAGGAGAAGAGCTCGCAGCATTCCAGTGGCGGTTTCCCCAGCCGCATTTCTACCGGAAAGGATGATAGCAGACCACAGAAAAAGGGAAAATATATAGATCTAAGCAGCTGTTGGGCGAACCATCATGGATCGATCGCGGCGCAAGCACCACGCCGCGAAAGATCAAATCTTTCCCGTAGCGTGCTTCTTTTCAAGGGTTCCTTCCTCTCTCTCTCTCTCTCTCTCG